CATGCAACGGCATGGCGTTGTCCGAGACTTCACCGAGAGGGGAAAGCGTGTGTTCCCCGCAATTTTGGCTGCACGCCAGAGATCAACCTCCAGGCGTTCGCTAACTCGTCCATTTTGACGTTACCGCGACCACACAGTTGGAAAAGAGCCTTTGCTCCGAGCGCCGACTGCATGAACTCGCTCAGCCTCTTACGATTCTCGTTCACGTCATCCAGGGCAACCTTCCGTCTGCACACCGCGTAGAGCAACTGTCGCTGGAGAGCGGTCAGCCAGCTCTCATCAGGTCGCAACAGACGGCAAGCACCGTGCCCACTAAGGTTGACGATGCAGATTTTATTGGGGTCTGCGTCGGGGCAATGGACCTGTCCGTACGATTGGCAAAAAGCCGCAAACATATTTGGACGCCTATGTGTCCTCACGTGCACCCGAGACGGCTAGCACTTCGGCTATAGAATCCAGAGCTGTCTGGCTTGGTCATGGCCTTCCGCTCACACACTCCAATCGCGCCGTCGCTGGGATATTCATTTCCGCACTCTACAGCGATGATCCTACGCCAGGCTCGTCTTTGTGGGACTCTACGTGAATCGAATGTGCCGGAGACCCCACAACTTTCATGACTCGAGTTCCTGTCAGTGATTTGGGTACTCGCGTGCCAAACGTCTGTGGCAGTCAGCGCGAGCGTGTTCTTGGCGGTCACAAGCTGTAGGGCAGAGTCGGCTTTGAGCGAATCCAAGAACCGCGGCATCTTGCCCGTGCACAAGGAATGGACAGGCAGCTGACGTTGCCAAACGCGTTTGTATCCAGGAGCGGCCTTTGTCCCGATGACATCCGAGGGGTATCGGCGTCTTAGGTGCCAAGGATAAAGCGCCGACCAGCCGCATCTGGGGGACTGGGGTACTAACTAACGATCCCCAGTGGGGACGGGGCGGCGTCATGAGCGTTAAAACGCACCAGGTGAAGCGCGGCTTGTCTGCGTGTCCTAGCACACGACTAGCCCTGGCATGCAATCCACTCTCGCGAATTATGGTCTTTATAATCCTCGGGCGCCCCCAGACCCCTCGCGTGTGGTAGGAGTTCTCAACGCTATTTGCAACCCATTGTGCTTCCAACTCAGACACCAGACATCAATACCTTGTCACCATGTCTGATTATTCTGCATCCCCGTCCGACCATCACAACGAAATCCAAGCACCGAAACGAAAAGCCACCCAGGCCGGCCTCGATGGACATGCAACCGGACGTTCAGTAAAGAGAAGGGCTTCCAAAGCTTGTCAATGCTGTCGAGCTCGCAAAGTGCGATGCAATGTTACAGAGCACGGCGCTCCTTGCACAAATTGCCGACTCGACGAAGTCGACTGCATTGTGTCAGAGAGCAGGCGCAAAAAGTTAGTTCCACATTCCCGTGCAATATCCGGCGTCTCCACAAGTAAACCGCACTGTTGTTTGATCAACGGTTTTCGATATGGCATGTTCCATCCAGTGTCGTCATGCAACATCGGCTGGGGACTCGGTACTTTTGGCCTAGCCATTTGGACAGCGTTGCACCTATGGCAGTTGCCGAGAGCATTTGAGCCAATGACAGCCAATGCACTTACTCCAAATGGGCGACTCGTACTAACAGTTGCAGGAAATGGAGCAAAGATGACGAACAAACTACGGAAAACACAAGCGTAACAGCAACTGCCACACGCAAGATCGCGTCGCGTGATGCGCTCGACGGTGCTCAAAACCTAAATCGATCTTCGTCGCGAGGGTCACATGAGGCGGAATCGAGACGAGACGAGCATGTACCACATTCCATATGTATGTCTATTGAATCTCTTCGTTTCTGTCCTGGACTAATTGCGATACAGACCAAAGCCATGGCCATCGTATTAATTCTGTCGCGAGCATTTCGGATATCCAACGCCGTCTTTCCATCACTTCGCAGATCAATGGCCTGCCTACACTACCATTTTCGCCGTTTTCCAACGAACCGCGAGCACCCTTTTTTGGAAGTTTACCGCAAAAACCCGCTCCCGGCGAGTTGCCTCGATTCATCAAACCTCTTCCGGCCAAAATCGGACCTGATGAGATTGCGTATCTGGAGAAGAAAGGCGCACTGTCTGTACCAAAGGGGAATCTTCGCGGCGAAATGCTCCGAGCATACGTTGAATTCGTTCATCCGTACATGCCCCTTTTGGATCTGCATGACTTCTTGTCAATGATCGACAAAAGAGATGGCAGCAAAGGGAAAGTTAGCTTGATCCTGTTCCAGGCCGTCATGTTTGCCGGATCGGCGTTTGTTGACATGGAATACTTGCGTACCGCTGGCTACGCTACTCGAAAAGACGCGCGCAAGGACTTTTTCCAAAAGACTAGAGTAAGTTGTAACCCCTTCTCGGAAGACTTGGCAAATCGCGTTCGGCCGACCGATCCCAAACACGATCGGAGCGTTTCGGACATACCGATATTCCGTGCACATGCCAACATGTGAAGATTGACGGGCGTACAATGGACCGATAGCATGTGAACATCAAACTAATTATACCACCAGATCCTCTACGATTTTGATTACGAGTCCGATCGTGTGTCACTTGTTCAAGCACTCTTGTTGCTGACGTACTACTACGAGACTCCCGATGACCAGAAAGACACCTGGCATTGGATGGGCGTCGCAACGTCCGTTGCCCACACTATCGGGCTGCACCGCAACCCAGATAATACCAACCTGGATAGCAAACGCGTCAAGCTCTGGAAGCGAATATGGTGGTCAACATATATGCGTGACCGACTCATTGCACTTGGCATGCGACGACCGACAAGGATAAAGACCGAGGACTTCGATGTGCCTATGCTGACGTTGGATGATTTCGAGATTGCACCTCTTCCGGAATCGATCACTTGCCTACCAGCTGACTGCCGCATTGCACGAGACGTGGATGCGCAGCGGCAGCTAGCTATCATGTGCATTGAGAAGGCTCGACTGTGTCTGTGCATTTCCCATGTGCTATCAAAGCAATACTGCGTATTGAACAACAACCACGGACTTCAGAATGACCGCACAACCATGATGTTGCTTCCGAAGAAACTGGATCCCGAGACTAGTGAGGTCAAGGCTTGCGATGAAGAACTGCAGAAATGGGTGTCGGAACTCCCGGATGAGGCCAAGTATACAGACACGCCCAGCGGTGAGGCAGCAATTGATCTTGCAAGGTCACTGCTGCACATGGTCTTCTTCACTACGCTGTCTGCCCTACATCGGCCCCAGGTTTTACCAAACTCACAAGGCGGTCCAGCAAGCGCCCCAACGAAGGAGAACGTCGAATCTGAACTCCTAGATGTTTCTCGCCGAAATGTTCGTCGTGCAGCTTCAGCTATCACATCGATTGCGCAGCGTCTGGATGTAGGCGGTCTCGTTAAGTACCTGCCAACAACGGGTGTCACAGTTCTTCTGCCAGCAATCATTATTCACCTACTTGACATCAAGGCGCCAGAAGAGGAGACTCGTCGGTCATCTCTACGTGGCTTCTGCCAGTGCATGGCTGTCATGGGCAAGCTGCGAGATCTTTACGCTGCTGCCGATTACTCCGTGGCTTTCTTAGAAGCCGCCATTCGCAAAGCAGGTATCCATGTTGCTCCTGTGGCAGCTGCTCAAGCTGTGCCGATGCCCAAGCCTTCGCCCGTAACGACCGTAGAAGATCTGGTAGATGCCGGAAGACGACTCGATATGGCCAACACAACGACAACTGCAACGCAAAATGTACGGCCCTCAACATTGACTCCGCCGCCAGACCACGGCACTACTAACATGCTCGCTTTGGAAAAGCAGCACAATCAGCCCAATGTTACAGATGAGGAAGTCGCTCGCCGCCTCGAGACTTTCCTTGCATCTACCCCGCCAGATTCTGATCACGAGCACATGCCCAGTATCACTATTGCCGAAGAGTCACACCTGGCTGATGTCACGGCTCCTGCATCGAACTCCCACACAAACGACAACCTTAACTCTATGAATTTTAACAAATGGAGCACGATGGACCTTGCAGCGAATCCATTTACCAACAACATCAACCATCACCAGGATGATGAGATGCTTTTCTCTAGCTTACCACTGAACAACGAATTCGACGACGGTGACTTTGATCAGTTGCTCAATCTGGATGCAGTTGGCGAGGCGTTCAATTTCGACGACTCGGCACTGGAAAGCAACATGGGCCTTGGAGACGTAGACTGGCTTGGTGCTGGTAATGACCTGACAGCAGAGGCATAAGAGGAATAGCTCGATCATCGAGCACGATGTCACGATTTCTCTTGCATAACGGAAAAGTTCTTTTATGGGATTTCTTTGGATCTGCGGCACTTTTCTTTGCGAAGATATCCATTTCCTTGTCATGTTCTTCTGTGTACGCCTTTTGTTCAGATGGTGACAAATGGGATGGGAATGTAATAGGAAAAGCACGTTTGTTGGCGACGATGAAGAACGTTGCTTACATAATACGCTGTTCAGCACGACGATATGAATTGAACCACGTATACGACTCCATACTCCAGTATTAACAAACATGCGCGTGACGGTTTGAATCACGATGGTTGCACTGTGCATAGCTCTTCACACTCACATATTGATCAATGTGCCTAATGCAACGGGCATACCACAACTTTAGAATCGACACAATCTAGCCCGGTCCAGTCCACCGTTAGTTAGTGATCGGATGTGGCACACTAAAATCGCCCGTCGGAAGAGAACTATTTGCGCTCCCGTGGAGCTGGACCCCGAGATACAGTGGTACGAAGCGGAGTCGGCAGATGTCAAATTCCGAGATAGAACAGATGACGTTATGCAGTCAACACGATGCAGCATACACCAGTCATCATACCAAAATAGCTTGCCTGCTGTCGAGTGAGTGGACACATACACACAGCGTTGCTTGGTTTGACATGTCCAAAGGAGACAATACCTATTAGATACACCGTTACTATATCCCATGTCCGAATCATAATTACCCTCAATTATACTTTCAAGCCAAAAGAGTCTTCCTTATTGTCTCCCAAACATCCATAACGTTCCTCAAAGACCCCTGCACCGCACCTCTCAGTAGTCCTTTGACATCATCCAAACCCAATCCACTCTGCCTAAACCTCCACGCTCCACCGATTGCAAGCACGAGCGCGAGCGTCCTGACCACCCTCCGCGCCCTCATCCTCGCAATGCCCTTGCTTGTGTACTCGATATTCCAGTCGTTCCACCTTGGGAAGGTGCATCTCCGCCAGAAGTCGATTTGCGTGTATGGGTAGACGGTGGAATTCCAACCATTGCCTGTAACGTACCAGCTTGAGCAGCCACTCTGCCATACGGTATTCTTGAGTGCACGCTGCATTTCAGACGTATAGGCAACCTCAGCGGAGTGCTTGACGTCGACGGTGCGGGCTTCGTTTGTGAGGAGGAGGCGGATGAAGTTTAGGGAATAATTCACCATATCTGGAATTTATGTTAGTATTCATCTCCAGAGCAGCTTGATGGTGTATGCTAGTAAGGAGGGATAAGACTCACTCTCACTGGCCATGACAACGCTAGAGTGCCCAGTTGCTGTGTTGGGTCCGAAGATCATCATGAAGTTTGGGAAACCATCGACAGCCGTGCCTTGGTAGGCTTGGGCGCCTCCTCGATCTTCCATTACTTGTACTAGATCTTTTCCATCTTTGCCAATGACTTTGAGCGGATGGAGCCATCGTGTCGTGTCGAAGCCGTTTGCCAGGACAATGACATCTGCGGGTATCTCTCGCTCTGGGTAATCCTCCTTCTTTGCATTGGCTGGGTACGTCGCACCGGGACCGATGACAACACCATGTTCAGTGACCCTACTCAGCGGCTGAGTAGTGAGCTCGATTTTCGAATCGTTCAGACTGCGCAGCCACCGCTTGTCGAAGATGCGGCGTTTGCAACCGACCCCGTAGTCTGGCGTCATGATATCCCAGTACTTCTCAGGAACGTGTTTTCGCATGTTCTGGAGCGTCTTCTCTTCGTAGGCCTTCCTTCCTTTCTCAGCATATGGAGTATTGGGGAACATTCTAAGGAAACCGGCTTCGGCACCAGCAAAAATAAGGAAACGAAGTAGCTCCTTGAGTCCTGGTACGTTCCTCATAATCTTGGGGCCATTTTTCTCCCACCATTCATCACCACCGGGCGGTGTCGGAGCTGGAACAACCCATGGCGGTGATCTCATGAGCTGAGTGACTGATTTGGCGTTGTACGGCGCATTGGGTAGGCGGGGCACGAGTTGAGCACTGCTGCACCCAGTGCCAACAACGACAACGTTCTTGTCCGTGAAATCGACACTTTCATCCCACCTCGCAGAATGGAACATGTTGCCCTTGAAATTTTCAATGCCCTTGATCTCGTCAGGCCAGCCTCTTGGCTCGACTAGACCCCCGACGCAGCTGAGCACAACCTTTGATTTCACAATCTCAGTCTCCGAGTATACTGCATGCTCGCCCTTCTCTTGTGCGATCTTTATGCGCTCCTTGGATGAGAGGTCGCCCATGCCTGCTACCATACGACGGAGAGTGACCTCCCACAACTGTTCCTCTTCTAGCCATCTGCAGCTTTCGATATCTGTGTTGAGCTCAAACTTGTCTGTGATGCGGTAGTTCTCGCATACTTCGTGGTAATAGCGTACGATTTCTTTGCCGGGAGGGTGGAACGAGGTCCAGTTCGGGTTTTGAGCGAAGCTAAAAGAGTAGAAGACGGCGGGTACATCACTATATAGCATTAGCCCTGGCCTGTGGAAGATTGTTGTGGCGGCTGAATTTCAAAGGTTTGGTATTACCATGCGCATTGAACGGGCATATTTCAGGGACTTTCATACCATGCAACACCTGGATAGCGATTTATCCACCAAGTTCCTCCAATGCCTGCTTGACGATCGAATACGCGAAACTGATCAAAGCCAAGTTGCTGCTTCAGTTGACAGGCCATGGCAATGCCAGATGCGCCAGCCCCGACAATAATGACGGGATAGTATGTGTATGCATCCTTCTCATAACCGTTCACTCGTCGTATCGTTTCTGTAATCATGTTGGCGATGTTGCAACTGGGGCGCTGGTGAATCGGACAGGGGAGCGTCCGTCCTTGGAGTATGAGACGATGCACGAATGGCTGATGTAGAGTCGACAAGAGATTCGTTGGAACTAGATTTTAGCCGGGCGCCTTAAGGGGTGACCGAGTCGCTGGAGAGAGACGGATATGTTTAAGGTTGCGAGCTGGCGTAACAGCAAGCCTTCGGTAATGTGACATGTCGACTACTAACAGTGGGCTCAGTCCTTCATGGTGCATGGCATGGGCGGAGCCAGTCTCCTGAGCCTCGGTAGTTTGCCATAATAGCTCAGGTGAGGTCACCTAATGACTGGCACGACGGCAAGCTCGCAGCAAATCCTGAATCAGGCAATTCGACGTCCCCACGATTTAGTTCCGACCTGCGGTAAACCCCAGTTCCGTCTCTTTCTGTAAGGTTGCGTCGGCAAATTCCAAGGTTGTCAGCATGGACTTGCATTGACCCTTGGCCACCTAAGTAGTAATGTATTCGAGTCAAGGAAGGTGAAGGTGCTTGGTTTCTATATGCATATTTTGAGGTACGCAACATGGCAACTCGCGCCAGAGATGAGTGGGAAGTCGTGTTGTTTATACACAGTCAGGCTGAGAAATATATGGGTCTTGTAAGCCACAAGTCTGTCACTGCGCGCGCGGCTGGCTGACATTAGACCGGCAGAGAGACCTATCTTCACAAAATATACTCGTTGATCACTTTCCAGACAGAGACAGACACATTGCCCGAAAAGACCGAGAATAGGTTGGATGCCCAGTGCAGCGCGCTCACGTGGGAACGCGGCGGGCGCACGGGCGCATTGTATTAGGCGGTCGCGAAGTTGACCTCATTGACTGAACAGGCCTCAAGTCCAAGCTCGAGAGAAGGACGCACTCGACATTCCGAGGCATGCACAGCATTTGAACAGCGAGCCGTCTTCTCAGTGCTGTAGAGAGAAGCACATGTCAGCACAATGAATACCATTGACGGTTCCGACCGTCACGTCAAGACAGAAGAAGGCATGGGACCACGACTGCTCAACTGGCACAATGACAACTAACTTTCGCAGCCCCGCCGCCGTCACTGCTTGCCATCGTCCTCGACACCAATCCACACGCGTGGGCGCATCTGTCCTCTACCCTCTCACTCTCTGCCGCCCTAGCCAACATCCTCGTCTTCATCAACGCCCACCTCGCCTCGGGAAACGGAAACGAAGTTGCTGTGATAGCTTCCCATTCGCACAAGACGACCTTTCTGTATCCCACACCCACCGACCCGCAGCCACAGTCGCGGCGCGGCGACACAAACGGCCATGTTCAGACGAATGGCCATGCAAAGGACAAGGAACACCACATGGCAGAGAGTGCCAACAAGTACCGGCCATTCGCTGTCGTAGAGAGCGCAATCCTACGTAACTTCGCCAAGTTGCTCAACGAGACAAAAGAGAGCCACCTGGAAGCAACGCCTACAACACTCATAGGCGGTGCTCTCTCCATGGCTCTCACCCACATCAACAAGCAAACCATCCTCCATGCTCCCACAGCCGCATCTGCCGACAGTACCGCTCTTGCAGCACTCGCCGACTCTGAAAACACACACGTCGACCGCGTTCCCCTCACCTCTCGCATCCTCATCGTCTCTGTATCCGGCGACCTTGCCAATCAGTACATACCTGTCATGAACTCTATATTTGCCGCACAACGAAAGCGGATACCCATAGATATACTGAAACTGGCTGGCGACACTGTGCTATTGCAGCAAGCGAGCGATGCGACTGGAGGCGTATACATGAAACCGGACCGTCCAGAAGGTCTGCTACAGTATCTGATGATGGCATTCCTACCCGATGTAACAGCACGAACAAGCTTGATAGTCCCTAGCGCTGGCGGTGTCGATTTCCGTGCAGCATGTTTCTGCCACAGGAAGGTTGTCGACATCGGCTTTGTCTGCAGTGTGTGCTTGAGCAGTAAGCTGAACCACACCTATTCCCCCCCACTCAACCGAATGCTAATTGCAAACAGTCTTCTGTAACCCAGATCTTCCTGATAACCTCTGCATGACTTGCGGCTCCTACCTATCTCTACGCAGTGCTGTCATGAACCCGCCGGCGCTGATCCCACGGAAAAAGAAGAAGAAGAAGAAAGCCGGTACTGACCCTGCAACACCAGGGGCAAATACTCCGGTAGGATCTGGCACACCTCTTCATGCTTGAGATATCACCCGCGGATCTGGAAGCTCCTCCACCAGATCTCATGATATACCGCGGTTCACCTTTCTCGGACATGTGTGCATATCTACTACAGTCCCTCGGCTCGTGGCGCAGGCTAGTTCAACCGAACGACGCAAATTTGTCCACGTTATGGAGAATGTGGAGACTACGACGGCAAGGCGTAATAAGCCACTAAAACGGCTGTACGACCGCCTTCCCCTTCGAATCGGAAACCCTGGCAGCATAATTTCTTCTCCAAGTCTACGCAAGTAGCCATACAGTAGTACGCGCACTTGTGGTCACATACAGGAACGATCTCTCGGCGCTGTGTCCGACTGCTACGGGCCGCATCGCTTCTGCTGCCGTCGACACGGACGTGTCAACAACAATGCGTGCAACAGGAGCGTTCTAGTGATTACTGAGCTTCCAGAGCGTCGGCCGAGCCGACAATATGGATAGAACTTTTGGCAACGGAGAGAGTCGGTGGAATCAGACAGGAGAACAATACAAGACCAAGGGATGGAAACATCTCCGAGACAGTGCTTACAGAAGTTCCTCGAATCACAACTCGTGAAGCCCCATTTGACAGCCTTGTATCCATATCTCAACAGTCTCAGCCTACTCTCCTTGTCACTCACGTACCAATAGCCGTAATGTCGGTACTTCTAGCCAGATCGCGTCTATGCCAACTGTCATGTAGAAATACTCATGTCAAATACATAGATAGGGCAGTGGCAGGGTCCAAATCTTCAGGCTGAGCATCGTTCTCACATGTACCTAGCTGCGGCATCGATCGGTGAGTCTCAGGGATAGCGGCAACTGGCGCAGACAAAAGCAACATAGATCAATGCAAGACAGACGATTGCGGTAGACGAGGCGAACAGTGTATCCAGCGCTATGGTGTGATGCTATTCTAGACGCGAACAGAAACATGGTGAGATGACGCCAGGGGTGAGGATCCCCGTTGGACCTGCATGGTGCATCTGAAGGTTGTTGGAGGCGGCTGCGGAGGAGTCGCGGGATGTGGGCAGAGTGGCCGTCACGGCTCGGCGTGGGATAGGAAAACGGCGACAGAGATAAGGGATTTTGAGGCCATTTCCGACGGCATCCGGGGGGGCCAAGTTTGATCGACTTTCAAGTATAGCACTTGCAAACTCTAACAGAGTGATCACACCACAAGACACGAGCTCAAGACCCCAAGATTCCCCATACAGTACTTGGGAACGACAGGCTGCATGGTGTCTCTAATGGCCATATCTACGCTAAGCACGCACCTTGCCAAATACGGGCTCGCCCGGCACCCGAAGATGTTAAGCCAGGGATGGCCTGGACTTGTTCTCAAACTCCAAGTATCCGGCGTAGCCTATCAGCCGCTCTCACGTTATCACTACCCTTGCTCCTACTCTTCTCCCAAGCTGTGAACAATGTTTTCGAATCATTTCGCTGATAGCGATTGAGCTGTGCTGAGGGGGCTCGATCGACGCATTGCCTGATGCGACTTCAGGGCTCCCATGGAGGTTAGTTGCCATCACAAGGCGAAGCGAACGAGTGATCACGTCGATCAAAAAGAGATACAGAGTCACAGAACAGCCAAAGACGATCAAGACTGCTCCACTACATGGTGGAACCAAAAAAGTGATCGCAGCCAGGCCTCGCGGCAACCCATCGTACTGTCATCCCACACGTGTGGTTCGACAGCCGCAACAGGCTCAGCGCCGCGCCCCAAGTGTGGGCGGTACCCTGCAGTTTGGCATTTTGCTTAGCGACGGACTCGTAGTCGGACATTGGCTGACATGGCCTGGGGCCATTGCCTCTCATCCCGTCACCAGCTATCAAACACCCCACTGCCGTGGCGTTCGTGCATTCGGGAGAGGGGGATGTTCATGCCTGTTTGCTGGGAGATTATCAAAGCGGCATCGCCTATCCTGTAGCGGAAGCGATGAAGCTTTGATGCTCTTTCCTACGCTCAGCCTCCATATAGCTACCACAGACCCCTCGGTTTAGGTGTTGGTTCGTGAGCTTGTCAATCAAGCGACTCGCCTATCCTTATACTTAGCAACGCGTTTGCACATGCTCCTTATTTGAGCGTTCCCAGCGGCGACCTTTTTTATTTTTTTGCTTGTTCAGTATTGGGGCGGACGCCAAGGGTCAACTGCAGACTTGGAGATCCCTGAACGTGTAGCGATCGACCAATCTTCACTTTCCCATCCGCCTGCACGCAATCCCTTCTCTCTCTACGACTCTCTAAAGTCTACATAATTACCTCGCATCTTTTCGGATTTGTAGCCAGTAACCGCGCATTGCCGATACATGACACATTCGAGTCCAACAAACATTTAATCGAAAGAGCGACGACCCGGGAAACGACAGGATGGATCCCGTATCTTCGGGCTTGGACCCCACACTCCCTCTGGAGACGTTTGGTAATACCACAGATCCCACGGGAGGCGATTCGAGGTTATACAATCTCAATGTGTTTTACAATGTGAGTTTGGCTACCAGAGACGGAACCGTAAGGTTTTAGTGGTAACGCGGGGCTAATGCCATGTTTCTCTAGCCCGGCGATATCGCTTGGATGATCACATCAACCGCCCTCGTGCTTCTTATGATACCGGGTGTAGGGTCAGTAACCCAACTCCACTTTGAAACTTTGCAACCTTGCAACCATGTACACAGGTCTAACGGAATTGCAGCTTCTTCTATTCCGGGCTGGCACGCAGAAAGTCGGCGCTATCGCTACTATGGCTGTCTGTCATGGCGACTGCAGTCGTCTCTTTCCAATGGTTCTTCTGGGGTTACTCTCTAGCCTTTTCGCACAAGGCTGGAAAGTATATTGGTGCGCTGGATAACTTTGGCCTGATGAATGTGCTGGGTGCTCCTTCGGTGGGAAGCCCGCGTATTCCTGATCTCATGTTCTGTGTCTACCAGGGCATGTTTGCTGCTATCACGTATGTTTATCACACTTTGGTCCTCAAAACCGATGCTAATTGTAAACAGCGTTGCACTTGCCGTTGGAGCTGTTGCCGAGCGAGGACGCATGCTACCTTGCATCATCTACATGTTTGTCTGGACGACTATCATCTACGACCCCATTGCATGCTGGACCTGGAACTCATCTGGATGGGTCTTCCAAATGGGTGGCTTGGACTTTGCTGGCGGAACTCCGGTTCACATTGCATCCGGATGTGCTGCCCTCGCCTACTCTTACATGCTTGGAAAGCGAAGTGGTCACGGTACCCAGGAACTCAACTACCGTCCCCACAACGTCACGCACATTGTTATCGGCACTGTATTCCTCTGGGTGGGGTGGTTCGGCTTCAACGCTGGTTCGGCTCTGTCTGCTAACCTACGCGCTATCATGGCTGCTGTATGCACCAATCTTGCTGCCTGTGTTGGTGGTATTACCTGGTGCCTAGTTGACTACCGTTTGGAACGCAAGTGGTCCACCGTTGGCTTCTGCTCCGGTGTTATCGCTGGTCTTGTCTGCATCACCCCTGGTTCTGGATATGTCCCTGCCTGGGCTGCTGTTGTTTTCGGTGTGTGTGGTGGTGTTGCTTGCAACTACGCGACGAAGCTCAAGTATTTCCTCCGCTGCGATGATGCCCTCGATATCTTTGCTGTCCATGGCGTTGGTGGCTTCATCGGAAACATCCTCACTGCGTTTTTCGCTACGTAAGCCATACACGATAATTTTCATTTTTGAAAATTCGCGTTACTAACCATTATGCAGTGACTACATTGCGCATCTCGATGGTTACACTGTTATCGATGGTGGTTGGCTCAACCACCATTGGGTGCAACTTGGCTATCAACTTGCCGATTCTTTCACCGGCGGCGCATACTCCTTCCTCGGGACCTGTCTTATCCTCGGAGCTCTTGACTTTATTGGCAAATTCATCCCCGCCTTCAGGCTCCGTGCGACGGAAGAGGAAGAAGCTGCTGGTATTGATGACGTCGAGATTGGCGAGTTCGCGTACGACTACGTCGAGCTCACCCGTGAGGTCAAGATCCCTGATGACGACATAATCGACGAGGGCATGTCAACGCATTCGCTCGAAGGTCACGGTGCTGGCATGGCCATGACGAGCCACCACGAGAAGAACCAAGACTCTGTTGATTCGGCCAACCAGCTCGCTGAATGGGCACATCGTGCGTAATAAGCTCGTAGCTTGTATTTCAGTTATTTTTTCTCGCACCATATATCGCTTTATACCAATTTGTTTCAATAAAGTCTAGGAAGCTTGACGCTCTGTACGTGTGTATGTAAGTGGTTATCGACGATGTAAATGATGGGATCAGACCTGGAAAGAGTAGAGCAAACTTATTATCTGTTGACCTCTTTACCACGGCTCTATGAATATGTAGAAATAATCCTCATTATGTTATAATCATGCGTGGTCCATATCACTCTATCGCCTTTGACTATGAAGATCCATCCTGTGACTGTGTCTGGCGTCGATCGAACCCAGCAAACATCCAACGTACGTCTCAGGGATGCTCATAGTGCATAGCAATTTCTGTGGAACACTCCATCATTAGGAATGTTCTTGTAAGCGTCACGTCAATGCGATACTCCAAACGCCATGGCTTTGAAAGTAGAAACGAACAGGTAAAATTCTTGGATTCTCATTGAGTCATGCTCGGAGGAAACTCCATCAAGAATCAGCTAAGACTTTCCACCTCTTATACGTCTTTCTTTGAACAATAAGTAAAAAAAAAAAATCTCGACCTAATAGTCCCAACTCACTATGCTCCGCTCCCTTGTGTGAAAGTGTGACGGTGTGAAGAAAGAAAAGTGACAAGAATGTCCTTGACTAAGCCAACTCATTCGAACATGGCCTCCCTTTGGCGTTGCGCCTTTTTCGCCCTGCCTTTCAGGTACAGTGCTATTTGGCTGGTTGATAAATCTGTCCCATATTCGGTAGCATCGGGATCGACATTCTCAGGTGTTTGTGGAGACCTCTAGCCCGCAGCTGCTCCAACACCGTTGGTGTCCATTGGGCTGCCTCCACCAGCGTTGGATCCGTTCGTCGGCCGTCTGCGTGCCCGGATAGCTTTCTTTCTTCGGTCCACTGGCGCACCCTTTCCGCCTTCCGCTACATCGACCATGTTGAGGTCGTCGTCGTCTGGCCGGTCTGCATCCTCATCATGTTCTTCCCAATATCTTCTCGTCTCGTCAAGCTCAGTAACGTCCGTGGGCCGCATCCGTAACCACTTCATCCGAGGTCCTGATCGTGCGCGCTCGCTGACTCGGAAGCCGTAGATGCGTGGTTCGTAGATGCTGCCTGTGCCGAGACCAGGCGCAAGGTTGTGCGGTGCGACGCCGTTTATGGAAGTGACATTTGAGGGTGTAGTATTCCGCGACTTGCCGTCTGCGCTTTGCGATTGTAATTGCTGTAGTGCATCGATAGTGTTTGACGTGTTGTTGCGCAGCCCACCACCGATGTCGAGGTCCGTAAAGGTCATGAAGAAGAGCGAAGGAAAGGTTGTGCCGAAGAAAGCACCGTCGACGGTTTGGAAGCGCGAGTTAGGCGGGGTATATACGTCTAGACAGGAAGGGCAGAACAGCTTGACGGTCTCGTGGCCAGGGCTATCGTTGAGGCCAACGGGGAGAACTTTGCAGGAGTTGCAGTTCACGCGCGGGCAGGTGCCAAAATGCTGAAGCTCGTACTTTTCAGCCATCTGCTGTATACCTGGTCTAGAGGTGATGTAGCGTTGATGTATGAGTCCGTAGAGGAGTTCAGCAGAGCTCTCTATCACGCTGAGGTCGGATGCTATGCGGAGATGTCTGCGGTCGCCTGCCCTTCGGTAGCCCGGTGCCCTCTCGTCGCCCAGTATCTCATCTTCCTCCTCTTCCTCCTCCTCTTCCTCCTCGTCGTCCTCGTCGTCCTCGGGCTCCACGTCGAGTATCATCTCCAAAGCTTCCTTGTACATGGGTACCTGCGATTGCAGGCCCGTCAGGTTGAAATCATCTTCGATGAAGTCTTCCGACACCTCAGCGAAGTATTCGTGGCCCAAAAGACCGCAAAAGGACGCGATCCACGACTCGGTGACCTGCGAAGATGACGACATGCTGTCTTGGGTGTAGAGACGTCGAGACCGCTTTCTAGACGCGGCTCAGGTTATGACGCGCAGCCGCAATGCGTGCGTGATGCCAGAGACGAGGGGTTCGAAAATGCGAATGTGGGGGTAAACGTGTGTAGGCGTGACGGAAGCCAAAGGCGCCAGATCGTACAAGATGGCTGTGGGTTAGGGTATATTTCTTTTGTGAAGCTGCACTTGCAGCCTTGTTATCGCATGTGTGTTGGCGTTGGGGTAGCGGGCAGGGAAGGGCTCGGCGAAAGTCGTGATCCAGGTGAGGCCGGTGGGGGAGGGGTCGAGCGAGCGCAGAGTCTGGTGAGAGGGCGGTGGAGTGTCTTGCGCCGGTTCTACCTGGCTATCAGTACGGCTAGGCTTGAAGCGTCGCAGAGCTATGTTGCAAGTTGTGTTTTGGCAGATGAAGATCGCAGGTTGCCCTGGCCGAGCTTAGCGATTGGCACGTGATCAGGCCAGGCCCTGCGAACTTGCTAGGTATAGAGGTGAAGCACGATAGTTTCTGTTACCAATACCACGTGGATTCGGAATGAGATCAAGTATTACAATAACAATATAAATGTCTAACATATATCAGAAGAAAGATCTTGGCTCAACAGCTACACATCAAAACAAGTCTCTCAAAATCCTTGCCAGCTCGTCATTCTCATGCGAGAACCCATTCACAAACTCTCCATTTGAGCTAGGAAGTTCATTCGCTGTCCCTCCAAAGCCGTTGAGGTTGAAGATACCTCCGGCAGCCTCGAACAAGGTCGTCAAATCACTAGCCATTCCATGCGGTGTATCAAGATTAGACCCGTTACGGCCGTTTGAGAAGAGGGCTAGATCGTCCATCGAGTGACCTGCAAGACCTGCCATTGCAACAGCAGCCGATGAATGTGCGTCATGGGTGTCGTCGTTGCGTATGACGAGTCCCAGACGGGGCCCGACTTCCTTGATCGTCTTGATAGTTCTCCAGAGACGTTTCGATACGTATGAGTTTGACGATAGGCCACGGACGAGCTCAAGAGCCATGTAGAACTCGTCTCGAGACTGCTGACTGAATTCAGCTGGCGCATGGGCAACAGCTAGGAACAATACTGCCAGAGCCGAAATAAGGAAGTAATTGAACATAGTCTGTTGGCTTCTGTAGATGTCCGATGTTTGGTTGATATATGTCAGTATGCGAATCGTATCCTTGGCGACCTTGACTACAACGTGTGCAAATTCAAGATTCTCCATGATGGTAGTTGCGGTATGTAGTACTGGGCGGTAGATGAGTATTCGCATCTGGTTGGCTCGAAGGTAGAGCACGACCTGTAAACGGTGGACGACTCGTGCAGGAGGTTCGACCTGTCTACCGCTGTCCGGATGAACGAACTTTAATGAATCCGGTATAGTACGGTGCCAGTTCAAAACCTGAAAGTCAAGGAAAGATATGTCATCCTTGTTAATCTTGTCTTGGTGTCCTACATCGGCGACAGACTTCCATACCTTCGAGCCGATGACCGAGTATGATATCATGGCGTTGAGATACGGCGTAGACTCGTGTGTAGATATGTCTGGTTTCGGCACATTAGTATCAATATCCGCGTCTTGCAGAGCAAAAGGCATCCCCGTGCCGAAGCTCCAACGACGATCGAGCACGTAGATTGTCCAGAAAGTCCTAATTGCTGCTGCTTGCTCTTCGGGATCGGGGAAGAGAGCCAAGTACGTATCGCGACGATGTAAGCCCAACTCTAGACAGTGTCGCGCAGCTAGGCCAATGACGCGCCAGGCCATAGCTTCATCATCACGGGTGAAGTGATACATGGCCTACGTTTGTGAGCGAAGTTCAGTCACAAGAGAATCCACTACTCACTGTCAGCACCAAGAGGCTGATTCCATGGAGGCTGACAGGATCGGTCAAGGCCTTGTCCACAATCTTGTGTACGTTCTCGAAGAGTCTCTCGCCCAAAGGGTCCTTTCCTCCGCCTTCGAGGACCAGTGTTATTGCGAGAACGAGCTTCAATACGCTAATCTGTTCATCGACCATTGCATCTGACCCAGGATACGAGCCTTGTATCAGACCCGATCTAGCCGCAGCTTCTACAAACGTGAACAACATCTCGGCATAGCGTAACAATTTGTCCACTTCCAGGATAGGGTACATGGTGCCCATCTCTTCGTGCCAAACATGTACCAAGCGCATAGCCTCGTGCTTGGAGATGGACCATATCGGGTCCTTATCCGTATGCAAGGGACGTTTTGGCACCATGGGGTGGAGTATTGGAGGGGACGCTCTTGGAGTTGCGTCGCGGGTCAAGATGCCATCGTCTTCACCTTCCTCGCCCGCGTTTATGCCCATGGTCTTCAAGCTTGACCTAGCCACCCCAACATTGAATGCATTCGACGTCGGGCCGTGGAAACGAGGGTGTTTGCTGAAGGATTTGGATCGCGAACGGGCGGATTGGGGAGGTAACATGGGCGTCTGCTGGTAGTCAGGGTTGAATGGGGTGCCGATTGAGCCATTGCTCTGCACGTCGACCTGAGCCCGGAGCGCGTTGAGGTTCTGGAACAGGTCATCAACCTGCTGCTGGAGGGAAGTTATGTGTGTTGACATTTGCTTGAACTCGTCGCTGTCTTTGAACGAGTTGCAGCAGTTGGGCGCGTAGGCGCACTCCAGGTTGAGGTTCCCGCAACGTTGGCATGGTGTCTCGCCATTGCACTTGATCTTTCGTCTTTTGCATTCGTTGCACGCGATGCTTATGTATCTGTTGCCTAAACCAAGCATACCAAATCAGTCTCCGGTCGCATGCCATGTCGTGTATCAAGTCCACTCACGCTTCGCGCGCTGTGTGGGCGCGCCATTCTCGTTTTTCCGCTTCGAGTTACTGCTGGAGTCGTTCGCTGGACTCATCGTATCGCTCGCAGTATTCCTGTCCGCTGGCGATGTCGCGCTCATGGTTAATTCCGCCTGCGCGCGAGTGTTCCGCGACAGAAGTCGATGTGTGGAGCTGTCTGATGTCTCCGGTGTCTGTGCTTTGCGGGGATGCCCGAAAGATCCGCTTAGCTTGAGTACGAAGTACGAGGGCGCTCGTCTTCTCCTGACTTGTGCTTTGGAGCCCTTACTTTCATTCGTTTTGTTATTACAGTAATGCAGAAAGCATCGAACGTGCTGAGGTAGCAAGCTATGAAGGTACAGTCAAAGAGACACGAACCGCCTTCAACTCATCAGCCTCGGTAGTGATTGAGGCATCACGTGGGCAAAGTTATGGCATCACCTTCGCGAGTATAGTCCACAAACTTGGACATGTCCATTTAGTAGTACAAAAGGACTTTCAGTCATCATCTAACCCAAATTCATCACCGATCAAATCAGTCAGCTTTGCCAAGTGCTCAAATACCTCACCATCCTGCCTAGCTACCCTCGTCGCTCTGAGAAGCAATGGGTACAGCCTGTGCAGATGCTTTCGGTGCTTGGATTTGACTCCCGGGGCATCAGGTATCGCCTGTGGCTCGCTCTTCAATTTCTCCAGTTGTTCCAGTACAAAAATCAGCTCACGCCTTTGCGATTCTGGTGCAGGCATGCGGCCGCGAAGTGGCTGGTCTGCGATATACGTCTTGAGCGGAAGTGCGCACCTTAGAATGAGATATGGAGCCGCTGCTTGAGCTAGCTTGATGCATTCCGGACTGCTATCGTGCAGGGAGACAAGGCGAAAGAGCTCGGAGAGACAGGCATAGCTCATGTCTGGTCGCCATGTATAATCCAGCTCCGCAGTCTGTCCAAGGCGTATCTTGTAGAGCTCTTCGAGTGGCGAAGTGGCGGTCTCAGGCAGTTCTCCAGGTAGAGGGCTATGGGTCAAAGATGTGGAGAAGAGATTGCGAGCGTATGTACGTCGAAGACTATCTGGCAGCGAAGCGGAGCCGAGCGGTAGCGTGATGAGGTTGCGAAAGTGAGTGAAAGATTGTATGTCGAACTGCTCATCTTTCCCAAATGAAGTCTGAGCACTAGGCAATGATTGCGCTCGCGTAATGCAGTACGCGATGTCGACGAGTGTGGTCCAAATGTCTTTACTGGATTCAATATGTGGCAACACTGACTCAAGTATTGTTGTGGATGTCGTAGTGGCCTTTTGCCACAGAGTCGGTGCTCTGCCTTCTCGCTGCCACACATACTTTTCCTCTATCGGCCGTGCTAAGCTGGTAAGAGCAAATGACAGTGCGTTGCTTGTATACATCTCTTTCACCCCAACATGTCTGATGGCAATGTCTTGCAGCAGCGTCATTGATGCTTTTGAAAGTGCTACAAAGGTCGGTCCGCGCTTCTCCGGAGACTCAGCCAAAGAGGTATACGGTAGCGCAACAAACCGGCCCAACAAACGTATTAGATACGACGGAATGTCAGTACCTTCTGTCTTGACTGTCGCCAAGCATTCCATGATCTGACTTTGAAGCGTCGTCATAGTATCCAGATCTGACGAGTAAGCGACTTCGTCTGAGTTAACAACGCAGGCTTCGAGACTCGTGAGCATAGAAGGCAAATCTTTGATAAGGAGTCCATCTGCGAGCCGATAGATCGCTTTAAAAGCCTCTGCATATGCTACAAAAGCGTCTTGGTTATCCTCTTCGTGTGTGTCTTGCCAAGCATCTGGAGTGGGAAAGTAGCTTCTCCACACTGCCGCAGTTTTGAGAAGAGGATCCGTGCCCAACACATTGGCGTTTTCGGCCTGAGATAGGATACCTGTCATTGTACGGAATACCGAAGCTCCTAAGGCATGCGAGCGGTAATCGAAGTAGCGTTTCAGGAGTTCGAGTAGCTCTGACCATGCGTCACCGAGCTGGGACCTGTCCAGCTTTTCCATGTAAAGCGTGTTGAGGACGGTAACGGTTTGGAGAACGGCTTTCGTAGTCTCATCCCATTCTTTCAGATCGTCTTTGCGTGGTCGTTGCTGTCTATTGTCGTTTTGGATGTCCAAATTGGCCTCTACCATACCGAACAATATAGTGCGAAGGCATAGTAACCACACTTCCGAAGAAAGTTGGTCCGAACAGTTTTCAAAGATCCTTTGTATCGTTTGTATTGAAGAATGTCGCACCTCCATACGTTCATCTGTTGTGATGGATGAGAGATTTAGCAAAACTTGAAGCCATAAAGCTGCAGTATTTCCTTCCTGTGGGCACGTGTGTACATCTCGTTTAACTTGCTCCTTGTCACTGGCTTGAGAAACAACTTTCGTCAATAAAGAGAGGTCGGTCCGTGACTGCAAGTAATCGGACACGTTCCAAAAGAAGGTAATCGCCTGTAGCAGGTTAGGCGTGTACCATGGGCTCGGAGCAGAGACTCACAGTGAGTGACATGTTCAGATCCTCTCGCTGGGAGCAGAACCTGCGCAAGAGTTCTAGGAGCGTCGAGAGGCAAGCATCCGGAACAGCGGTCATGAAATCCGAACAAACGAGGTTGGCTGTTGCAAATGCGGATCGAGCAAGAGACCTTGAGATAACGTCTACAGTGGTATTAGTGCTTTTGCTGAGGTCTGAGGTATCGACGTCTTTTGTAGCACCCTGTTCTGGTGCTGCTTGATGAGTAAAGACGCTCATCAAGCTTTCGATGACAGAGGTCCAGCCAGCAACTAGCGACTCTCCACATTGCTCAATCACGTTTTTGAGTGCGTCAAGAGCTATCTGGTGAACACGTATATCCGTATCAGTGATCGTGTCTTTGCTGATACCATCATAGTGATGGAGGTCAGTAATCTGTTTTTGCAATGCAGCAAGTATGCGAGCTTGGATTTCTTCGCGCTGCTCATCGGACATGGAAAGCTCAGCAATCTCCCTGACCGTCCTAGCTAGAATATCGGCTGCCAGCAGCCTCGTAGATGTGGCTTTTCGACCGTCGGTAGAGTAACGCACAACTTCTCGAATCAGGATATCCCATCCACTTTCTGCGGGATCATATTGCGACAATCTGCTTTCGTTTAGCGAAGCCAACTCTCCGATTTTGTTCAATGCGAACGCCGAATCGCGGGAGTTTGCATCCGTGTTAAGAGGTATTCCAGATACGCTACCAAGCCGCCGCTGATGCAAAACCTGGGGGCGGCCAGAAGTGGTTGGCGTTCTTTGCCCGCTCTCTGAAGGCGATACACCATTGAGAAGTGAGCAAAGAGCTTGCAACACCTCAGAGAAGGAATCGTTAGGAAAGTCCACAGTACTCTCGAAAAGTCTGCGAGCGGCGCTCTGCACAGCTGAGGTTTCTGCCTCCATCTTCTCCGTGTTGGTTTCCATATCCATACGATTTCCAGATACAGATGCACGACTGCTAGTCTGGCTGGACAAGGATAGCACTAGATCGGCTACTTGAAGCGTCTCAAAGACGATGGACCAGGCTGATTGCAGCGTCGGGCCCAACGCGATTGCCAAATTGAGCAGAGCCCGTAGACACAATAGATTGCGAGGTCCCAGTGTAGGTGCTGACACATCGTGTGAAGGGCGCCGGTTTTTATCAGTGGACATTGAGGAAGCTTGACTCACGAAGCTGTCTACGCTGAGCATCCCTCTTGCATTAGAGAAGATACCAGGCTTTTCACCCACAGGTGACGCAGCGTTAGCTAACAGCAAGTTTGACGGGACTGCTGCCTTGCCCATGGTTGTGAGAAACGCATCTCGCGGTGTTGAGAGTCTAAGAAGTCCAGCGACCTGGGTGAATTTCTGTATGGCTCGGACTAGAGCCCGATAATAGTCTGCGTCAAGCGTCGCATTGAGAAATGTTGAACAGGTTGCAAGGACTGCAGGCCAGCATTCCGTGACCAATTTCGTTGAGATTTGCACGTAGGGGTACGCTGCGTGATCGGTCAAGTCCAGAGGGTTGACTGGTATAGTCTTTTTGCGGAAAGAGTGAGTTCTCGAGAGCCTTCGAACGTTTCGATCTGGAGATGCGTCTGTGTCGTTTTCGTTCGTCTCCTCGGCCTTGATTTTCTTCCGATTCCGATTTTCATGATGTACGGTCAGAGGAAGAACAAACTTCGCTAAGCTCTCGGAAATATTAGTGATGCAAGTTAGCACCAGACTATATATGTACGTTTCAGGTAATGCAGGCGGCTCGGTTTTGTCGAGATGTTCGATACAAGGAGTCTTGAGAGAACTCCACTGCATGCTGATACCTGAAGGACGAACATTGTTGCTACTATCGCTCACGGAGCCCCCTATGACGCCGGCCAATGCACCCGCTTCTGCAACAGCTTGGTCTGACACCGCGGCACTACTGTCCTCAAAGCCAGCGGCAGCTGTCGAGTGTTGGCCTAAGCCAATGATTGCTGGTTTCTCGGTCGCAAGACGAACGAAAGCAGCTAGATTGTCTCCGAATATGTTCTTTTTTCCGTTTTCCGCATCGAAGAGCGCATAAATTGCTAGAAGAAGTCTAGAATCAGCGTAGATGCTGCGGAACACTTCGAGGCAAAGAGCTCTTTTCCATGCCTGAGAAGCCTCGGGATCGAGCATGTGGTTCAGAAGACCAAGCGCAATCTCGCATTCGGAGGGAAGCGTGTCAAGGTGATATCGGATGATGAGATGTAGTATCCGGATGATACGAACAGTTACTGCGAAGGACAGACGGTCAGATAGCGAGCGAATTATCAGCGGCATCAGCTGGGATCGCATGATGTAGATCTGCTCAAGATGGGTCGTCATGATCTTATTGTGATTTGATAAGATGGCCTCGATTAGTTCCAGTGTTGAGGCTGGCGGCAGAGAAGCGAATCGCATGAAGATGGGTTTCTCTCCTACGACGAGTGCAATAAGATCGGTAAACATCTAAGCTCGATCAGTAAAGCCTCTAGCATGGAAGAGGTTTACAGACCTTGTAGGCATCGTTCGCTGCCGGCCTGACGGATACTTGGCCATCGTCGCCTTTCACCTCGGTCACTGTAGGGATCTCTAGGGACTTCTCTTTGCGCTTGGTCAGTCTACAACACGTATGTACTCTTAGTTCGACAAAATACCATCTTCTGATGCAACCCTGTCGAATACAACAATGACTAGTTGTTGCAACGTAGCTGCAGCCGTGTTGCTGACGGCGAAATTCTTCGCATTCTGAAGACTTGAACAGATTTGCAGGACAGCGGATAGTGACTCGCTCCGTATTTCCGCGGGGTAGTTCTGCACCAGTGAAGGCAACGCCTGCAGTATCTTCAACTGAACATCATGACCTGGTAGTGTTAGCTATATTGAAAGCGCTCGGTGATTGACCTTCTTTACTTGATGCCACGGATCCCCGAAATGCTTCTAGTACTTCTGTCAGCCGTTCTCGTGGCAACGACCGCGAAACACATAATCTCTGGAGACATGAGATTCCTGTAGATGCGAATTTGGCGTTCTGAGTTCCACAGGCAATTAGAAAAGGCGAGATGAAATGAGGCCGTCGGGAGAGATCTTTACTGCGGTCAATATATGTGAAGCGACGGACATTGGGCTAGCTCACCAGCCGAAAGTTGAGCCTCAGAAGTATTAGAAAGAGACTTCAAGTCTTTCAAAGCTGCTTCTGCAGCATTTCGTAGTTCTGTGTTCTTGCGCTTTGCATCCTGTATAAGGTTGCCTAATTCAGCCGCCAAGATTTGAGCTGTCATTCTTTTGGTATGAGCCGGAGCATCTGGACGGTCAATGCAAGCAAAGGAGCGACTCGAGAATGCGGTACTGTGTTGTTGTTTGGTCGAATTGCTAGAGGCAACGTATAGTTGTCGCGTCTAGAGGCGACAGGCCAAGCGATGCACGCGTGCCAGGTGAGACCCTGGCACCTCGTCATAACCATCGACGCTAGTGAGGCCGACTGGCATCTTTGGACAAACATCGAACGCTTTGACACGCAGCAAGTTACAATTGCGCCTAACGTGCATCGGACACAGACATCAACTTGTGCGCTTTCCAGATTGGTCCTCGGTCTTGCCCAAACCCCAGCTCAGCCGCCGACAGTTCCCAGTATCGCATAGCGGGGTCCAGCCCACTTCCTCACGCGCGACTCTTCCATTCAGCCTTCACACATACTGTAGCTACTATGGGCGCCAAAGTCCCGCGTAACTTCCGTTTGCTGGAAGAGTTAGAGAAGGGCGAGAAAGGTCTCGGTGCCGGTATGGTAGACTTGTGGTATAGCTATGGGTAGCAGGTTGCTGAGAGTTCACAGAGGCCTGTTCATATGGTCTTGACAACGGCGATGACCTCCTGATGTCCGACTGGAACGGTACTATACTTGGTCCACCACACGTATGCACTTCTGTCTACAATCAAGACACCGTATACTGACCATATTCCAGAGCGTCCACGAGAACCGTATCTACAGCGTATCGATTCACTGCGGCCCAGACTACCCCGACACGCCTCCCGAGATCAAGTTCACGTCCAAGATCAACCTGCCCTGCGTCAACCCTCAGAACGGAAAGGTGCGATGACCAAAGGCGTGGATGCTGTGTGCATGCTAACAAGGCCAGGTCGATGCGTCAAAGCTGCCATGTCTGGCTCAGTGGAAGCGGGACTTCACCATGGAGACGATACTGATAGAGCTTCGAAGGTTAGAACATCTCCAGATTCCTATTGCGCAAGACTGACTGGGTTCCAGGTACATGGCGCTGCCGCAGAACAAGAAGCTTCCCCAGCCGCCCGAGGGAGCCACATTCTAAGAACATCGAGCACACGGCCTGTACCAAGAAGGCAGTCTTGGGCAGGGTGAAATCAACACGATATATGACAGTATGGCACACAGGCAGTCACAGTGCATGGAACGGAGTTATGGTCTGCTAGCCTAGCCATTCAGTCTGGCAAGATACCAGGATAATAAGCGGCATATTTCATCCTCCATCTTGCTTTTCCCTTATGCCCTGTGAATAAGTCAAGCGCAATCCTTGCAGAAACCCAAGTAATCTGTCAGGCTGAGGTACATCTAGACACTCAGCGGGCACAATCCTGTACTTGACTCTAAGACATGGTGCGCACGTGACGATGACATCGCAGTCCAAATATTTCGCGTTGCAGCTCAAGCTTCGCAACACCACCAAGCCATCTCATGCATGCCCCGATTCCTGCAGCCTAAAAAGTCGACACAGCATCGTGTAGCAGGTTAGATTCTCAAACTACCAAGACCTGCTTTCATCCTAACAGAGCCATTAGCGATTGCTCTATATCGAGCTTTGCTGTCGCGATGTTCCTCCGCTCCACTCCCGGATGACGACCGCGTATCTTTGCGCAACGCTATTCGCAACAAGTTCCGACGGAACAGAAAGATACAGAGTCCGTATCAGTTGGGCCTAAGCTTCAAAGCTGGCTACCAGGTATGGTGTTCGTCATGTTAATTGTTTACACAATTAACTGACAATATGCAGACGCTTGACCATCTCGATGCCTCCGCTACTGGAGACGCAACCAGCACAAGCATTCTGACGCGGCTGGTTTCCCAACTACCCTGCGCTCTGACGCGCATTCTACCAATAAAGCCACGGCGAGAGACGCCGCCAGATCCCCTCAAAGAACGGCTCGCGCGCCTACCACCCGAGAAAGCTGTCCTCAATGTTCGTCCGTATGCGCAAACTTCTGGACCCCGCCACGTTCCCATACTCGCTTCTGCAAACGGCATACCCTTCCTCCGGCTCACAAAGCCCCAGCCTCCAGCCTTGAGTCAAGTCCTCCACCAGAGACTAGAGCGAAAAACGGAGCTCTTCGACACCATGGTTCTTCTGGACAATTGGTGGCTGCCCATATGTCAGCAGGAGGATAAGTGGGATGTGCTCATGAACGAGCAATTGAAGAAGCGCGAAGATACTGTGAGATGGACAGATGCGGTTCGGCTTTCGCAGTCGGAGAACCGGGAAGCATATGAAAAGGATTTGAAGAAGGACAGACAAATTACGAGGAAGATGCAAAGGATTGTAGACATGGAGACCGAACTTGCGCTGAAGGAGGGACAGACAATTGTAAGAGGAAGGAGGAGGCATCCCATACGAGTCATAAAGCCAGAATCATGAGTACAATGGACAGCGTTATGTTGCATCTGCGTGGTGTAACATGTATATGACTTTTATCTTATATCCGTGATACTTGCAGCGTACTGCATTCAGGAAGTTAAGCAAGATGGGTATATATGTGACCTGACATGTCGACGTCTTGTATCATCATGAGGTCGCTTCGATCTTCAACTTCCCTACATCCACCTCGTCTACGTCGTCATCATCGTCGTCATCCACCTTTCCGACCAAGCCCTGCTGCCACAGCTCCTTGCCCGTCAACTTTTTTTCTTCCTTGACAATCCTCTTCTTCTTGTCCTCCAGCTCCTTCTCCTCTTCCTTGCGCTTCTTCTCGTCCTCCATCTCTTTCCTGAACTTGTCTCTCCATGCGAGGAATGTTTCTCGATTGACGGCTTCACCTTGGAACTTCTTGTTCTCTTCTTCCTCAGCTTTGGCAGCGGCTATGTCGGCGAGGGCTTGTTTTGCATTCTGGCGCTCGGTTATGAGGAGCTCAGCGCTGTCTTTGAGGACGGTGACGAGGGTGAAGACCATGGCCATGCCGAGATTCTCTTCAATCGTCTCGGTGAGCGAGTCTAGCAGCCGCTGCTTGTCCTCTTGTATATCGAGGTAGGCGTGTCTCGGCGCGTTGGGCGGTTGTGTTACATCAAGCCTGGGCGCTTCGTCGGGGTAGTTGGGCGGGTAGGAAACATTCAGGATGATGACGGCTGGTAGTCGTGAGCTTGTGTTTGCCTGGAGAGACGGTGCAGTCGCATACGTTGCTCTTCTTCGCTCTCATCGTCTTCGTGGCGGCCATCGTCGAGCGTTATTGCGATTCGGAACTCGGTCTCGGAAACATCTGCGGATTGTCACTAGACGGTCCGAAGATGTTGCGCAGAGTAGCACTACCTGTAATCTCGTCGGGGAAAATTGACTCGAGCACCTCTCGCTCTTCTTTCTGGTCTTCGATGCCCATTGTGTAAAGCCAAGTATGGAAACTGTGGGAGTGATGGCATCTGTAGTGACACTGAGGCTGCTTTGGCGGGGCGCGCTTTCCCCACGTTAGCTCCGTCCGACTGCCGATCTCGAGAAATAATTTTTGGTAACCAGGCTTCTGACGTCTGCAACCACAACACGCATAATCTCACATTATGGCGAAAACAAAACCTACCGATCGCAAGACGAAGAAGAGCGCAAAGAGCGGCGAGTCGAAAAAGTCGAAAGCATCGCCAGAGGAACTTTTGATTCAAGCGGCTACACTCCTACAAACGTCACAACCCGAAGAAGCGCTCGTCGCCGCGCGAAGAGCCTTGAACCTACTCCAGCCCGGCACATCGAAGCCTTCTGCTGCAGCGCTGCCTGCACTGAACCTCCTCGGCGAGATCAATGTGGAATTGGGCGACCCAGATTCTGCGCGAGAAGCTTTTCAAGCGGCCATCGTAATCGACCCAGAAGGCGCAAACGACGGAGCCGAGAAGTTCCTATGGCTGGCACAATTGAATGAAGAGGGAGGCGCCGAGAGTGTGCGGTGGTTCGAAAAGGGCATTGAAGTGCTGAAGAAAGAGATCAGTGAACTGGAAGGGAAGCGGGCGAAGAACAATGAAGTCGAAGAGCTGTTAGAGGAGAAGAGGCAAAAGATCGCAAATTCGCTCTGTGGTATTGCTGAAGTCTATATGACAGATCTCTCTTGGGAAGAGGACGCCGAAGCGCGATGCAACGCCGCAGTCACCGAAGCGCTGCTTTTCGCACCCGAAAACCCAGAACCACTACAGACGCTCGCATCGATACGCATTTCGCAACTGAAGCCGGACGAAGCGAAATCTGCGCTGACAAGGAGTATGGACCTTTGGAAAGACCTCGATCCAGATGACCCCAAGGTTCCAGACTACTCGACCAGAATCAGTCTTTCCCGCCTGCTCATGGAAGCTGAAATGGAAGACGAAGCTATTGAAGTGTTGGAGCGGTTAGTGGGCGAGAACGATGGCAGCGTTGAGGCATGGTATCTGGGCGGATGGTGTCTTCACTTGCTGGCTGGGAAACAAAAGACCAAGGGAGAAGACAAGGTTGCAACATCTCTACTACGTGCCAGTCGCGATTGGCTGGAGAATTGCCTCAAACTCTTCGCTATGCTGGAATACGAGGATGAGCGATTGAAGGAACACGCCGATGAGTTATTGAAGGAGCTCAACGACGTACTTGGCCCTTCCACCGGCGAGGAAGATGAAGAATGGGAAGATGACGCCGAGGAGGGGGACGATGACGCTGATGATGATGAGACCATGGAAGGCACGTGATTCCGAGTATACGTGATGTTGATGGAGTCCGATGGTGACAGCTGTTCGACTAAGCCGCGATGAGGAGACCCCTGGGTCAGCAAGAAGTTGGAAAGCGGCTCCGATGGTAATGAGACCGAGATTGGGGAAATTGGGCAGCAACGTTGAACTTTGACGACTGGAGTAGCACAGGCTGATTGTGTCTGGGATATGTCAGTGTGGTACAGGCTGGTCTGGCAGCTCTTAGACGTCTTCACATGTACTGTAGATTTTTCTTGATACCCAGCGTGCACGGATAGATAGCAAGAAGCGCTACTTGAGGCTATGGACATTACCCAACCCCAAGCAGTTGGCACAGCGTGGGACGGTCCCTGCATGTAGGATGCCGCCGCGAACCCACGATGGGCACTAGGATGCTGTCAGTTTTGCCGTGACAGCTCCTGAATAGACGAAGCCACACGCCAATCATTCCCCACTCTGCATGCTACCGCGTTCGCGTTCGTGTCCCGCCTCGAGCTGCTGAATAGAGCGGGCGTCGGCGACTTGGTCAGGATCTGTGTGTAGGACGAGATGACTTTGCCCGTGCCTGCAAGCCCGCATGTGGACGGTCTGCGCCTGTCGCTTGCAGGGAAGCAAGCCCATTGGCGAGGGGAAGCTGAGGGTGTAACACCAAGTTGCGGCCGATGCCATGAGACAGGACCGTTCTTGGCAGCGAACTCGACGTCGCCGGCGCCCCAACGCCACGAATGATCAATCATGCACATCGAGACCGAGACGGCCCTTGGAACTTGCCGCAAAGTCAAAGTGACGCTGCGCCATCGCCATCGCCCGCCGACGTCGTGCCTTTAGAGCGCCAAAACCAAGTCGCGCCTTCCGGCCGTCCCTCGCGCCTGCTCCGACAGATGAACGAGCCGCCCCACACTCGTACACATCGCATTCGACGAAGAGTGCGTCGCAAACCCTCGGCCGCAGCTGAGGCCTCATCCAATTCCAGCCCGGGCATGCCCTTGGAGAAGAGGCACCGCGACCCCGAATGATCTGGTATCTTCTCTATCCGCTGCGTGGGTGAGTAGCCGCCCTGCGACGAGCACGCGTCCGATGCGGGTGCCCATGGATGATGCTAAACGGCAATATGTAGTACCACTGAACCACCACGGCTATCCACCTCGCACCCCATCCGACGGGCGTTCCAGGCCCACGGCACGGCAACTGCACGGCATTGGCTGCTCTCCATCGTCCTGACCATTACCATATCCGTCCTCCTCTGTTACCAGGCGGTTTTCCAGGCCGACAGCTCTGCCGCCGCCGCTCTACGCAACCTCCCCAAGCATGTCTGGACATCGACCACCGAGGTCGAGGGCGAGCGACCTGCCGACGTCGTAGTGCGTCAGGTCTGGGTTCATGGAGACTATATGAATGCAATTGCCCTACCTGTGTTGCGCGAAGCAATGCATGTCCAGGAAGTCCTCATCAACGGTGGCTTCGATACAAGAGAAGGCGCTACATACGACGACCAGCACATGCTCGCCCGCCATGGCCCAGGCTGCGTTGTAGCACCACCGGGAGAGAAGTGGGGTTGGCATTCGCCGTTGCTGTACTGGGACTGCTCTTTGAGCGCGCTGGAGAAGGACTCCGACCTCCTCGGAACCATCAACGCTCATGCTCGAATACGCTCGCCACTCAACGTCACGCTGCGACCGAGCACCGTTTTTGCCGGCAAGTCCTTCTCCAACACCAAGCTTCGCGCCGCAGATGCATTGGTCATCACGCTGTTTGACCAGACCAATTCGAGCCTGGGAGATACATGGGACTCAAGGTCGCGCCTTCTAGCGGAAAAACTATCTCCGGACTGGACCATCTTCCCGCCTGATGGCCAGGTAGGGCGAAGCCGACTCTATGAATTCCGTTTCAAGCCAATGACCCTGAATGACGACTTGTTCCTCGCGGCATCCTACATGGTGACCGCTGCCTATGTCATATGGAGGATGATGCAGCTGCGAGCAGTCAAAAGTTGGTTTGGCCTGCTTGTAACGATATGTGTCAAGGTGAGTTCAGTCTCGTAAGGCGCGGATGCGATTGCTAACCACTGACTAGATGACTATATGCGTGATTGCAAGTTTTACTCTCTGTACCTACCTTGGAATCGATTTAGCACGGATACCCCGGCCATGGTTTCCTGGAGTTGTTTTTTGTTTCGGTTTAGGAAATATGTACGTACGGTTGCGGCTTCACGTTCGATTTGGCTAACGGTACTAGATTTCGTCTGATTAATGTCGTCCTAGAGACACCCCCCGAGATGCCTCCCCAACAGCGAATCGGAAATGCGCTAGGAGAAGTCGGCCACTTGTCCCTTGCCATCGCCTTTCAAAATCTCGCCCTATTATACATTTGTTCTCGGCTCGTTTCACCTTGGGTAGCTGACTTTTGCGTCTTCGCTGCCGTTACACTTGTATTCGACCTTGTTTTCCATTTGACCTTCTTTGTCGCAGTCTTGAGTGTGGACGTGCAAAGAATGGAGCTTTCGGACTCGCTGGAGCGCGAGGATCTCAACCAAAGTAATAAGAAGAACCGGGCAGAACGACAATCCTGGCTCGGGGCACTGTTTGAGGGTACTCTGCCACTCAGCACGAGATTTGCCGGGACTGTAGCCATTTGTTCCATTATTCTCGCTATCAACTGGCACTTTTTCGACAGCGATGGCAAGCAGCTGTCTCTCGACACACTTCGTCGGAACCTCACGTCCAGAAAACGCAGACGCGCCACTGATACATGGAGCCCACCACCAATCAATCAGGCTAGGACCCCCGCTGATTGGCTAAGAATCCAAGACCACAACACTGCCCGGGAACTCTTTGGCTTTATCAAGCCCGATGCTCCGAGTTTTGTAGCTCGTATACATGACCCCATCCTGGTTGTTGCCAAGGGGGCGTGTGGACGCGACCGACCCCAGCCACCGTTGTCTTTCATGGATGGGCTCCGACGCTTTGCGCGTGGACATGCGTTCCCAGTAGCCTTGATCGTTGTTACCCTTATTGCGGCTGTAACACTGTTCATGAACTACCTTCTTTGGAGTGGACTTCCGAAGACTGCTGAAGAGAGCGAAGAGGACGAAGAAGTCACACTGTCGATCAAGACGTTACCAACGCCGCAGAACCTAGACGTTGTGCACTTGATTTCCTGTTCAAAAGGCCATCTTGCTAGTATATCTCTTGACAGGAGTACTGCGCTATGGCTACACGGTCGTGGAGGATATCTGCACACTACGCTGCAGACAGCATCAATGAAACCAAAGCTTTGGCCCATTTACGCTACCGCCATGGATGACGGTGGCAACATACTTGCGCTCTGTGCAGAGAGCGGTCAAATCGGCTTATGGGATATCCCTGCATCACGTTTCCTCATGTTTCCAAAAATCGACATCCGCGGACAGGCGCCCATTTTATTTACCTTTGTCTACCTCAAAACACGCCTGGATGTTGAAAAGCTCTACCTCATCATCGTCAGCCGGGACGGGCATCTAACGAAGCTCGAAGCACGTACAGGCATCCACTACACTAGACGCGTATCATCCAGTCCCATCGCCTGTACCGCAACATACACCTCAGTTCATGGCGACACAAGCATTGTTTTTGTGACAAAACCCGGGGAAGTACACATCTTGCCGCTGACAGAGGACAACAACATAATGTCTGAAGTAGTCGCTGGTCTTGACCCGGGGCCACCTCCAGGCAGCAACCCTGCGAAGATTCGATGCATAGAGGCAGTTCCCAGCCTAGGTCTTATTTTCGCACTGCGTGACGAGGAGGCTGAAATCTTTGACTTTACTAGTCGAGCTCTCGTGCACGCCTTCCAGATCGGCCACATCAAGCCGCATTCATTCAGGGTCCTGTATCCTATGCGACGAACGTGTCAATGTGGAGCCCCAACAGTGAACTCCCTTGCTGTGGCATATACAGAATTAGACACCGGCCACATGATCATGCAAAATTTCTCCCTCGACGACAATACGTCGTCACAGATATGTCTCGGAAAGCCATTGGACAGGGAGAAGCACCGGTGTCGGGGGCTCGATCAAGCAAAGGAGGCAGTGCATTACGTTGAGCCTGCCGGAGTGTGGGAGTCGACGGATGCACTCAGTGTTGTAGGGGTCAGGAGATATGCGCAATCACCCACACCATCATCAACGGCTTCAGGCGCTGACGATGGTAATCAAGGTGTTGATCCATCCGCGCTTGCATCGGCGCTCAAGCAGCGAGCTCAGATTCAAGGCAATCTGAACCCATCCAAATCTCTTGAGACGTCGTTCGCCAAGGGTAATCAGAGAAGTCACGCTCCTGGCGACGTTGATACGTGGGAGGCGTGGACACTATCCAGTACAGGGGAGTTTCGCTGTAGGCCGCTTGTTCCTGATAACCTCGATGGCACAACGGAGGGCTCGTACGAAGACGAGCTTTTCGTGGCAGCTCCTGGTCCGATGACCAGACTAGGCAAGCGCAGCGTCGTGGTAGGGTTCGGCAATACTGTCAAGGTCATCACTCTGGGCAAGGAATCATTCGATGGGTTGACAAATCTGCAGAGCAGCGCTATGGATATTGGCCTTGGATCATACAAGTGGAGAGCCCGCAAGGGCACTGGCAGGAAAGTACAATGAGGGCTTGTATATGTTGGGCGCAACGGTATGGGCGGAATGAGTGTTATCTACGTTGAAGTTCAACTTTGGTGTTTAGACTACGGATATACCCTATGCGCAGCAAGCGCGGCGTTTTCAGTGAGGTTCTTTTGGCCTCGACCTTCAGCAAAGAGATTTAGCAATAAACAAGATGACAGTTTGCAGCGACTGCCGCGTTTCACCTCAACGTCATGGACCACCAACATGTACATCAGCATGTGCTATCCCTCCATCAAGCAGGTGGTTTGCCGACACCCAATCGGCGGTATAAAACGCACCCACAGGTGGCATAGTGACATTGTAAGCCCCGCAGCAGACGTCGCTATGCATAGACAGCCACAAGTTGCACGTACCAAGCCGGGTATCCGCCTTAGCTGACGGCAGTCGTGGGCAGGACAGGCTATCGAGTGTAGCGTAGACGAGCTGGATCAGGTTGGGTTGGGAATGCAGGTTCAGAATGCATTGATGGCCGCGCACGAAGACGAGGGACGTCATGTGGCTGAGGCAGTTGCACAGGGAAAGGGTCTGTGGCGCTTTGCGGGGCTAGGACAGGGGAAGAGAGCGCTTGAGAAAAGGGCCCACGCGACCCCCGTGGGTGTCGATCGAATCGGCACATGCTCTGCCTGCACCCTTCGTTCATACAAGACACCTTGACCGCCCGACAAGCCGAATCCTCTTCTTTTTGCTTTTTTTTTCTCTCGAGCGGAAGCATAGCTATCCTCAATTGGTACGTCATGCAGCCAGTCCATTGCGACTGCTGTCTGTTTGGGACTCGCCCTTTCACATGCGACGGAAGGATCTCTCCATGTCTTCTTAACTCTCCTGCCGCCCAGCCAGCACCACAACACACCAAGGGACTAACCATGGAATAGTGTCGAGACATCATTATGAGTAAAGCACAATCACCGTACGACTCTCTCCGGAACATACCGCAGTACTACGACAACTCCGACTCGCGCAACTCTGCGCTCAACCTCATACTCGCGCTACGGCCAGAATGGCGGGAATCTCAGGATACAATTGAGTTTGTGAGGTTCACCGACGGCATTACGAACACGGTATGCATATGCTAGCAGTGCTCTGCTGGCGACGGCCCCCCCCCCCTTTCTGTACGCAACAGCTAAGACGACGGATAGCTTCTGAAAGCGGTGAACAAGCTGCCCGGTCTCTCCAAAGTCGAGGTTGATGACGATGCGATTCTGCTGCGCGCATATGGAAAGGGAACAGACGTCCTGATAGACCGCGAGAGTAGGTGTCCATCCGCAACACCCATTACCGAAACTAAACAAGTTCGCAGAGGAAACTCGCTCCCACTCGCTCCTCGCACGCCACAACCTTGCACCGTCTCTCTACGCCCGGTTTGAAAATGGTCTCCTATACAAGTACATTCAAGGCAGTGTGTGTACGCCCGAAGATCTGCGTCGGCCAGAAGTATGGCGAGGGGTAGCTCAAAGGCTGGGGGAATGGCATGCCACATTACCTATATCGAGTATTAGCAGCACATGTCCTGCACCCGCACAACTCACTTCACACAACAACAAGCGTGCGTCTCTGGCAGCCATGGCCACACTCACGCCAGGCAAGCCCATCCCGAATGTGTGGACTACTATGCAGAAATGGATCCTTGCGCTGCCGACAAGCACCACCGCGCAGTCGGAAAGGAGAGACCAGCTGATGCAAGAACTCGAAAGCTTAGTTGAGTTGCTAGGTGACACGCCTGGTGTTGGCGGCTCCAATCCGTTTGTCTTCGCCCATTGCGACCTACTCTCAGGCAACGTGATCATCGAGCCCTCGCCTTCGTCTGCCGCTGCTTCGCGCCGCTCTAGTGCCTCGAGCGCTTCAGACGAGCCCGAGACAGCAGCTGCTACAGTGTCCTTTATCGACTACGAGTATGCTACGCCTGCTCCTGCTTCATTTGACATTGCAAACCACTTTGCCGAATGGGGCGGTTTCGACTGCGATTACAGCGCCATGCCCACACGCACCATTCGCCGCGCTTTTCTCCGCGAGTATCTCCGCAGCTTCAACGCCCATCAAAACAAGTCGTACAAGGAGGAAGAGCTGCAGGAGCTTTTCGACCAGGTCGATCGCTTCCGCGGCGTTCCTGGCTTCTACTGGGGTATTTGGGCGTTGATTCAGGCTCAGATCTCTCTGATCGAGTTCGATTATGCGAGCTATGCTGAAATCCGATTAGGCGAGTACTTTGCATGGAAGAAGACACTTGACGGTGGCAAGGAGACGGAAAATGAACGCATGATACAGAGAGAGAAGATTTGGGCGCAGGAAGAGTAGAGAAGGACTGTCGATAGACATGCACTGCACTGCGAGGGCTTTTAAAGAGTGGAGAAAGCTAACACAGCTGAACATTCAACATGGGGTCTTATTCATAGGGCGCTGAGGCGCTTCTTTTTCTTTTTCTTTTTCTTGTTCGCTATCAGCTAGAGCACTCACCTTGTTCACCGTTTCATCACCCGCTTAGTACGTTTAATACCAATCGATAGCACATTCGTTATGTCAGTGATATCCAGACCTTCGTCGCATGTATCGGCAGATCAGCACACTGAACAATGAATTGAATGGGGGGGTTTTTGACTCGGACTTTGCAGAGGCAAAAGAGGCAGAGGTGCACGAAGACCATTGTGTAGCGAGAGATGATAGCCGTACCCGTAGAACGGAGCGCAGGCCCACCAAGAAGCATTCTCTTTTCATTTCCGCCGATACTTCAGAGTCTGTTTCCACACTCCTCTACGCATAGACTGTATGGCTCCCAAAGTACGCTGTGCGTAGGGCGTCTTCTCTCTTCCTTCTCCTTAAACATGAGCGCTCCCTGTACCATGTCTCTTGTTTCTTCCACATCAAGCTTCCATCTCGTATCGGTGGCTTCGTGGAACACAATTATGCAAGCGTGCTTGCATGCCTGAAACACTATGCCCACATGCCTTCGTATCCTTGTGTAAAAAGGCGCTGGGGAGAATACACCGGACTATCGCGGGTCTTGCAATCGTCACCTCACACTAGAGATAGTCAGCAACTGCCCCTTCCCGACGTGGCTCCTATGTACGTACCATCCAAGTAATCTGCCGCAATCAACAGCTCCAAGCAGAGTTCAGGCGGAATATCCATGTCCGAGACATCTTTACTTTCAGCGTTCTTTTGGTTGTAGTAGAGGTATTCGCAAACTTTTTCCAAGACTACGCCACTACGTTGTATTAATTAGGATTTCCATGCATATCTCGTTTGTTGGGGCTATGGCAATCGGTCAAGGAACGCGCCCGGGGAAACGTACTTAATCGTAGCTAGGTGGACGGTGTTCTCCTCGTTTTCCTTGAAGCCGGCTGAGGTAGATCGTTAGCTTATGATATGGTGTACATGTGAGGTAGAGATGTTTACACAATGGATCCAGTGCCTTCTTAATCGTCCCTGCTATGCATGCTGCTGAACGGAGGATCTTGAACTCGAAGCCGTCGTTAGAGACCAGAGTGACGTACTTCGTTGATTTTCCGTCAGCCATTATTGTCTGTAATGTATGTCGGGACTCTGTTCAGTGCCGGAGATAGTTGGAGTATGATATGTCGAGTGGGAGATGTGGTGTGTGACGTTGCGCGAGAGAAATGGTGGGTTCGCGGGGAAGTTGTGGAGGCGCGCGCTGTCACGTTTTCTCGCGCGGGCAGAATATGGCTTACATCATCTACTTTTGTATCTCCCTTCTAGCTTGTTCGTTGGAAGCCCATTAGAATACAACTATTGCGATTGTTCCTGAAACGAAAACTGTGTCTCGGGTACCTCTCTCCCTTGACCAACGTGTCGACTGCAGTCCAGGACCGAAAAGTACCAAACCTACCATGGCAAGTCGCCCAAAACACGTCCTCATCACGGGCGGTAGCCGAGGCATCGGTCTCGCAATCGCGCAATTATTCTCCAAGAACGCATACCGCTGCACCCTAATCTCTCGCTCAGAAGAAAATCTAAAAAAGGTTCTAGCAAGCTTATCGCCTTTGTCGTCTTCCGGACTCCAAGCCTCACCTGACGATAGTGAGCCGTCCAAACTATCCGGAACATCGAGCTCGCCGTACCAACATGGACATATAGCTGGAGACATATCTAACGGCTCGAACTTTTGGTCGCTGAGTCCCTCTTGTCAATTTGCTGCTTGTCTTCCCCGACCAGACACGCGCAAGTATCCTACTCACCCCTCACACATCGACGTAGTAGTGAATTGTGCCGGTGTAACGCAGGCAAAGCTATTCTCTGCATTGGATGAAGGCCAAATTGATAGTATCATCAAAACTAATCTAACTTCTGTGATGCAGGGGACGAAATTCCTTTTACGGTACTGCAACCCACTCAATAGCCGTGTAAATGCGCATGCTGGCTCCCTTATTTACGTGTATATGTGCTGACCATATTGATTTTGCACAGAAACGGCTACCTGGGAGGCAGGACTAAGGAAGATGCTGATGTCCCAGTCATTATCAATGTCAGCTCGCTGCTGGGCCTGCAAGGTGGTTACGGGGCTGTTGCATACGCAGCATCGAAAGCGGGAGTATTGGGTTTCACTCGCGCTCTGGCTACTGAGTATGCTAGTCACAAAGTCCGCGTCAATGCCATTGTGCCTGGATACGTGGAAACGGATATGACAAAAGGTGCGTCGAATCATATGGTGATGCAAAATGATGATTTTTTTTTGACGATCAACAGACTTGAATGCCTCTGAGCTTCAACAACGTATACCGTTAAATCGTTTTGGCAAACCGGATGAAATTGCTCACGCAGCACTGTTTCTCGCTGAAAACAAATATGCACACAATTGTGTATTGAATCTAGATGGTGGCTTATCTGCCGTCTAAGTCATTTACTACTACAATGTTTGAGATCTTCCCAATGAGTTGCCATTCCGGCCTTGCAAGACGGCCTGGTGGCTTTCTCCAGACGTGATTCCTTCCACCAAATGCTCCTTAGACTAGGGTAAGCCAATGAATCCAGAAGACGTCCATGGCGACGACTTCAAATGGCTGGCTGATGTATGGTACAGAAAAGGAAATCTATATGCTGCAAGCGCATCGAATACCGAGCCGTTGTTCCAGGTGCAAGGATGTGGTGAGATGGGTGCAATGGACATAAGCAATCAGGCTCCAACGCTTATGATCCAACGTCGAGAAAAAAAGAGTGAAGTATATCGTATACTTTAGTGTCGCCAACAGAGCCAATGACGAGACGCAAGATGATGGTTCGCTGACTTGCAGCCAGCAATCAAGCTTGTCGCCAAGTTGTTCAGTCATCATCAATGACAATCGCTCCGTCATTCTTGTCGTCTTCGATAGTGATGTGGCCATCGTCTTTCTTTTGTGACTCCTCGATGACCTTACCCTTCTTCCGGACGAGCTCATCCTGGAGACCTGCTTCGCTGGCTGTGCGCTTCGCAGCACCATTCGTGTTTCCGTTGCTGATATCCGTGACGTCACCGTTCAGAACGGTGCCGTTGACAGTCGCATGGTCAATGGTCTCTGGTACAGGCATCTTGGGCTTTGTCGCAATCTTGACTTCATCCGGTAACCTGAGTGGGTTTGCGTTCTCGGTGAAATCTTGGTGTATCACAGAAAATACTAAATCAACCTTCCCATCTTCTTCCGAGTCATCGGAGATTGTGAGGAAGGTGTCGCCGTTAAGGCCGAGTTCCTCGAATGTCTTGTCGAGATGCATGTCCTCGTCGATATCGTAGAGTATATCCGAATCTCGCTTGACACTGAATTCTTCTCCATAGCCCAGCTGTTCCTTCAGAATGATATTGACCAGATCGCTCAGTTTCGCACGCGGTAAATCGACATGCAGTGTGGCATAGCATACGCCGCAAGTTGCACAGCGGGGATTTGGTGGTCGCAGTGACTCGCTTGAGATGACGCGCTCAGTGCTACGGGTAAGGAAGACCATCTTGGCTTTGTCGAGCTGTTCGCGCATGACTTTGAAAGCTTGTAGAACGCAGAGACTGGCAGTCATGGCGTTTGTAGTCGCAATCGCAGGAATAATGTTGCCAGCCATTTCTGTATCTTGTTAGCAGCCGTTCCGACAGTGTATGTGGTTCCCCTACGCTTGATGTCAAACTTGGACCGCATTTCTATGCCAAAGATGTGTGAGCGCAGGTTTGCACTTGCGACGACAAAGTCCAGCGTGTCCACGTCGTCCTTGTCGAAGCTGAGAATAGGCACCGAGTTCCCAATATCAGCGTTTGCGCGCGTCTCTTCCAGCCGAGTACTGAGTCGCTTGATGCTGTCCACGAAGACGGCGAAATTCTCCGCTACATTCCATGTGACTTGGTCTTGCTGTGCGATTCCTGTACCCACACCTAGCGATTCATGCATAAGCGTGTCGTAGTCCAATGCCTCGGGCGCTTTCCTAGTCTTCCACATGTCTTCCATGCTCCGTAACCGCTCGATATCCTCGTTGAAAACCTTGTCGAAAACCAGTCGCGGGAAGTCCTGGGAGCCCATGGAATCGCGAATTCGCTTCAGCGCTTGTGCTTCCTTTCGTAGATTCGCGACTTCGCTGGCATTGTCGGCATCTTCGCTATGGTCTAGCTCGGGCGCTTCGTCTTCTGAGGTGCCAAAGATCTCGGCGAAGAGATATGACTTGCCCCATACTATGCAGTGGATGGGTTGCGAGGGCGTGCTTCGGATGGTGCATACGGGGAACGACTTGGGGGCGTCTTTGGGTGTGCAATCGTAGCATTCGGTTTCGCCCTGTAGTGAAGTCAGCATAGGAGCTTGACAAAGTAGCTGAGTGGTGTTGCGCACCCGCTTGATAACCTGAACTTGGCCGTTGAAGCCAGTGGTGCCACTCTCAATCAGCGGGACATTGGCCGCGAGACACATCTTGTTGACATGTCGCCGCGCGTCCAAATTGTCCAGCGCATTGAAGACGAGGCCGAAGCTCTGGAACCAGGCGACACTGAACTGGCCATCCTTGATGTTGTCGTGGTACGCTACGATGCTGACGTTGGAGTTGAACTTGCCGGCCGACTCTTTCGCAACCTGTCAGGTAGTTAGCGCAAGGCGGGAGACGGCGTTGCGAGCAGGGCCATTGCCGTACCAATGCTTTGGACTTCTTGATATGCTCGTTGCGGAACAGGAATTGGCGGTTGAGGTTGCTGAGGTCGATGGTGTCGAGGTCTACAATGTGGATTTCGCCAAAGCCGGTGAGAACGAGGTTCTTGAGCAGTTCGCAGCCGATGCCGCCAGCTCCTACCATCAAGACGCGTGCCTGCATGTGATTAGCGACTGGCACATGGCATGTTTGCGCGTGGTGCGAGCTACCTCTCTGATGCGCTGATGGAGCGTGCCACCGAGGCTCTGCCGAGCAAACCTGTCGCGTGCCATTGCGGGTTCGGGGGTGGAGATGGGCGAAAACGAAGTCGTGTTGTGGGCGAGGCTACGACATGCGAAAGTTGGACAGCTGCCGTCTCGAGGTAAAGGCGACAGGTGAGAGACGTCAGTGCAGCTGGGTAGCGCCGCTCCACTGGGCCTGCGCCGCTTGCCTTCAGCCTCCGAAGCTTGGCACCTAAACGAGCGCCCTATGAGTGGATCGTCGACCTTAAACGCGCCGGGACACACGCTGGTCGCTGCCCACTGCCACCAAAAACTTGCTTTGCGTCTGGTGGAGCTTGCTAAAGACTGCATACGAGCGGCCGCAGAAGTGCCCTTCATCGCGACTACTGGAATTGGAGCTAGCGTACACGGCCGACCATCATCATGTCCGACGACGAAGTCGACCTGGAGCTGCTAGACCTCATGCGGAAGCATTGGGGCGGTGGTGCCAAAGACGAAGGTCCACCAGAAACAAAAGTCCTGGAAAATGCCCAGTTCATCTGCGATAATAGCATGGACGTTGCTCTCGATATGCGATCTACCAAAGTCGCCGCACAGCTTGTTTTTGACGAGATGGAGAAGCGGAACTACACAACCAAGACCTGGTCGGAGCATGAGCTACACCCCAAAGCAAAAGATGAGAGCACTGTAAACTTCATCTTCACCATGGACCTCCTAAACTTTAGCTTCTGGAGCGAGAAGAACGAGGAGGAGCGCTTCGCGGTAGTGTACAAGGGAAAGAGATGGACGGGATATTGGAGTCTGGTTGCAATATTACAACGAGCCTTGGAACAAGACATCCCAATCACTAGTCCAGCTTTCTGGGTTGACCAGGAACAATGTTCAGACGAAGTCCTGCGAACCATCTTCACTTCTGGTACCGACGAGGAGATCCCCATGTTCGAGCAGAGGGTGCGATGCCTTAGAGAAGCTGGACAAATTCTAGAGGAGGTGCGTTTGTTGTAGATCACGATCACACACACACAAGCAGTTTTACTTATGACTGACTTCGCAGGAATTCGATGGCAGTGTGATCACACTCATTGAAGACGCGAACAACTCTGCAGCCGGTCTCGTGAACCTACTCGCTGAAAAATTCAATTGCTTCAGGGATGAAGGTAGATTTGAGAATAAGAAGGTGCGCTTTTTGAAGCGAGCCCAGATCTTCGTTGCAGACCTATGGGCTGCGTTCGACGGTGAGAGCTATGGCGAGTTCGATGACATTGACAAGATTACCATCTTCGCAGGTATGGTTGAGCATCATCTATATTCGTAGTTCAGACTGACTGGCGCTTCTACAGATTACCGCATTCCTCAGATGCTACATTCATTAGGCATAATCTGGTACTGCCCGCCTCTCGAGAATAAGATACGCCGTCAGGGGATCATCGAATCTGGCCACTCTTGGGAGATGCAGATACGGGGTTGTAGCATCTGGGCTGCAGAGCTCCTCCGTAGAGAGATTCTGAAGCTTCAACCAAACGCCAAGGTCAACGCTATTCTCATCGACTTCTTCCTGTATGACCTTGCGAAAGAGAAGGAGAAAGAAGAGGCAGAGGTGATACCACATCATCGAACACGAAGCATATGGTATTGAGTGCCGAAAGAACGGTGGTGGAACCGACATAAAATTATACTTTCAGTCTCCACTATGGCTGCCTGGTGAGAGCGTAGATCAACAGTTGGTTATCTTGTGTAGACAACAAAGGTGGGGGTGGCCTGGAGCGATCCCTGCCTCGCGATCTACACCTTCGCCACTTCCGGGTTTACGTCGTCTCTAAGACCCAGCACACATCTTCTCAGTTGTCACAGAAAGGTACGCCACTGACCATCGGGTTGGCTGTAAAGTACTCCCTACGCGGCAGGCCGAGACTGAAACATGCATGGCAGGCATGGCACCGTTTCGCCTTGCCAATTGTCGTTAGATACCCACGTAAATGCTGGCCATTCACGCTTCGCAGCCGCCTTCCCCAGGACCGTCTATCCGGTATTTGTAGACTTGTCGCAACCATGCGGGTGACACTCGAAGCGCAAACAGCGCTCTCGGTCGTACGGTCAGAACATAGGGTTGACAACCTAACTCTATTCGTGGGTAGGGTGATTGGGCGAGTGTTTGCTAGGCATCTGGACGGTGAATACATTGCCTATTCGTAGCATCGTTCTTAATGTCTAGACGGACTTTTATATCCCTTGGATCACCGCTATTCCACCTAATACAAAATACACTTACAAGTCAGGTAACGTCAGTGACTTAGCTAGAAAGCAACTCAAAGCCACGCTCGAGCACCTTCACGTATGTTCACAAGCATTCAAATTGACAACGGGGAACCCCTTCAGTACATTCAGTCCCAGCGCAGGATCAGCAAGCAGCTGACATTCTGATTAGACATTCCCCTCCTGTACCATGGGCAATTCCTCCAGTTCTCCGGTGCAGAAGTGTCTCGAGAACGCGATTGGAAAAGAGAATGTTGCTTCCAAGAACACGCCATTTTTCCAACTCTCACACGTCAAGCCGTATAACCTCGATATACCGCTGACGCCAGCGGCTATTACGTACCCCAAGACTACCGACGAGATCGCCGCAGTCGTCAAATGTGCCGTGCATAACAGCCTCAAAGTTCAGCCGCGCAGTGGCGGACACTCCTACGCCAACTACGGTATAGGTGGTCAGGACAGCACCATTGTAGTCGACATGAAGTCTTTCCAGCAATTCTCCATGGATAAGTCAACCTGGCAGGCTACTATCGGTAGTGGAACGCTTTTAGGCGATGTCACGAAGCGACTACACGACAACGGCAAGCGTGCTATTGCCCATGGCACTTGTCCACAAGTAGGTATTGGAGGTCATGCAACGATTGGTGGCCTAGGACCAACATCTCGGATGTGGGGGTCCTCACTCGATCATGTAGAAGAGGTAGAGGTGGTTCTGGCCAACTCGACAGTAGTGCGTGCTTCGAGAGAACAGAATCCAGATATCTTCTTCGCGATGAAGGGAGCCGCAGCCGGGTTTGGGATAGTCACCGAGTTCAAGGTCCGCACTCAGGCTGAGCCTGGTGAAGCTGTGCTTTACTCGTACAATTTCCACGATGGCTCTTCTGCAACAAAGGCTGAGGCGTTCAAGAAGTGGCAAAAGCTCGTCTCCGAACCCGAGCTCTCTAGGAAGTTTGCGAGTCAATACATCTTGACGGAACAATTTGGCGCTATCATCACGGGCACTTTCTTCGGTAGCCAGACTGAATTCGACAGCCTAAACATTACCTCCCTTCTTCCTTCGAGTTCAGGATCTGACTCAATAGAACTTAAAGATTGGCTTGGTGTGGTAGGTCACTGGAGCGAAGATGTGGCTTTGGAAATTGTGGGGGGCATCCAGTCCAACTTCTACGCCAAATCTCTCGCATACACAGAGAAAGACATGATACCCGACATCGCAGTCGACAAGCTCTTCACGCATATTGAAGGAGCAGACAAAGGTGGCGCGCTGTGGTTCATCATTTGGGACCTTGAGGGCGGCGCTATCAATGACGTGGCATCTGATGCTACAGCGTACGGACACCGCGACGCGCTCTTCTATCATCAATCGTATGCTATAAATATGTTTGGAAAGGTAAGGGCTCCACATATCTCTAATTAACAAGCATTCTTATTAACATTACGCAAGGTAAATAACAAAACTCGTAAGTTTCTTACCGATGTGAACGATATCATCATCGATGCGTTACCAAACCACGACCAAGGAGCGTATGCAGGTTATGTAGATCCTGAATTAGGTGACAACAGCGCGCGCCTGTATTGGGGTGGCAATGTCGATAGATTGGAGCGCATCAAGGCGGAAATCGATCCGTTGGACGTGTTTTCTAATCCGCAGAGCGTACGGCCGGCGAAGAAATCATCAAAAAGGCTGGTGTTGTAGAGTGGACAACTGAAGGTCAAAGTAACTATTTTGGCTGGCTAGAAGACTCCTAGTCTTGATCCGCCATGTTCTCTCGGTGTTTTCTTCTTGTACCGTATGTGTCCTTCCCTCTTGGCGATAGAATGTAACGCTGGGCCTTGGTATCAGAGGGGTTGGTGTTACCTACATATGGAGCCAGACCATAAGTACGAACGTCGGGAACACTCTTCCGGTTCGTGTCATTCTTAAATGTGATGACATTGACAATACAAAAGCCCTCTTCGACTTCACTACTATATATTAGAGCTCAAAGCCATGTAGTCATGTTGTTGTGGAATTGATGTATATGACGTGTGATATGACACGCAGCACGTTTGAGTAACCAATTGTGTTATGCGTGATGGATGGCACAATGTGGCCATAGGCACATTCTCCGAGCAGCCGTTCATTGTATGCCAATTCGTCGACGCACTTGCCAGTAGCTCACTCGCGCAAGCATACGCCACCACTTCCAATTACACAACATGACTTAGAATCGCTTTTCAATCATCTTCGATCAAGTATCTTCGACGCCCTGATCGCGGAACTGGCGGCTAGTCAACGGCCAATAATAGTTGTTTCACATGGCTACCATCCGAGCCCAAATCATACAATGCATAAGAAGCCCAAGTTCAGATAGTCCTGGTAACGAAAGAGGCGTCAGGTAAGTTGACGTTGGTAACTACTATACTATTTTCGTGACTGCCTGTGTTCTTGGTTCTTTTTTTGTGTTGAGCTTGATTGTGAGCCGTAATGTACATCGTCATTTTGAGTATTGTTGATGGAATTCCGAACCGTGCATGGGGAACGTTTGTCTTGAAGGGGTAGCAAGGATTGTCTGTGCGGTCGATGCACTAAGGATTCACACTACTGGTGGACCATACATGTCTCTCATACCTCTTCCGTCATCGACATCATCGAAACCAAGCGCTCGACCCACCCATCTTAAGTGTGGCGTAGAAAAAAACTGCTCTGTCCCAGCATTTGGGTATAGAATACTCCCTCACAATTGACGCTGCGCTGGTACGTAACGTGCGATTTGTACCCCGTCGACCAACCAGAACGCCGCGTTTCTGGTAGAGCAGACTACTAACATGGGCCAGTCTTCCCAAGGTGCAGGTCGCGCAACTCTTTCGGGATGCCTCCTAAGCCCAAGCAATGGACGTCATGTAGATTGCAGAAGTGGCCTGGACCACTGAGACGTGTTCGTTGCCGCCTCCCAGCGAAGCTCTCCGGCAGGAGCAACCCATTTACATGGCATGTAAAAAGATCCTTACACAACCAGAACCACAAAAGCATTTGGAGTCGAGATGATATTCAAGAGAACAGCACGTATTCTAATTTTAAAGCTCGTAATCCACACCTGTTTCAACGGAAAGATCAGATTTTCCCGGAGCTTGAGGCCAATCGGTTGCAATTGCATACATCCCCACCAATTGTCTATCATGATCTAGTTGATGTAGCGGCGAAGGTGGGGCGTGTCGAGGAACGTATAGGATACAATTTCAAGAACAAAATGCTGTGCATCGAAGCACTGAAGCTCACATCATCGGCTATACCACTATACTTCGGTGGTAAGACTTATCACGTCGACAGGAACAACCGAATGGCACTGCTAGGTGATCGCATTCTCACGTTAGCTTTGTGCGATACTTGGTTCCAAACGGGAAACCCTGCAGGTATGTTCGACGTGCAGCTCACATATCTGAGCTGAGACAACAAGCAGCAAACTACAGTAAGATGCAAAGCAAATTAGAAAGTCGAAAGGTTCTTCGCGAAAAAGGGAAAGCACTTGGTATACGCGAAAATTTGGTATGGTATAATCAGTGGACCCCAAAGCCCAATGCCAATTTCGATGCCGACGATGCGTATGGCGAGGCGGTTGCCGAGGCGGTTGAAGCTATCCTTGGTGCCGTGTGGGTGGATTCTGGGAAAAGCATTGAAACTGTCAAGGAAGTCATCAAAAAAGCCGCGCTTGATACACACAAGCAATTGAAAGTAGACGTTCCGTCTCAGGACAGGTATAAAAAGAAAGAGCTTTCGAAACTCCGGAATTTGGAAAATGAGGTACTCATGAGACGCAAGAAGGAATCGAAACGATCCAGGATAGAATACGAGACAGAGCAGAAACAACTCAGGATAGACAGAGAAAAGAGTCAGAGCCTGAACGAAGAAGCACAGCCAGAGAGCCGCAACCCAGCACTAAGATCAAAACTCACACACTTCCTAAAGAGAAGCCTTGGCGCAATGGTAGCGCGTTGGTCTTCGGTTGAAAGCATAAACACCAAAGGATCAAAACCGAATCCGTGCGCAATCGCAGCCGCTAGCAGGCTATCAAAGGAGCGCAACATGTTAAACGATAAATCCGGTCATGACTACCTCACAGCAGACTCTGGACGACAGCTTTCATCAGTATCTCGCATAGAGGACGAAGAAAAGGTAGATACTCCGTGTGAGTCAGGCGACCAGGATCCACAGATATCGTCGCCAGCGAAAGAGGCGGGCCGCAGAGCTAAAGGTCAATCGCAACAGATCGATGCTATGAGTACAGGTTTGAGCCAGGACAAATTGCCCATGGAAGAGTTGGCGGGTTTGAACACTGAAGACCAAAGACGTAAAGAGACTCTCTGGCTGCGTGCACTTGGGATGCAAGGGATGTTAAAGATGCGGGGTATAGACATAGATGTTTGGAATTTGTACCAAAACATGGAAGTAAGCGTGCGAAAGAACAGCAAAGCGAGAGACAGGGTACGGTTACCCGTGGAAGAGTTGCGGGTTTCACACCCTGAACACCGAAGAGTTAACATGAAATGCCGGCTGCGTGCAGTTGCGATACAACACATGTTGAAGACGCGGGGTATAGATATAGATGTTGAGAGTTTATACCAAGACGTCAAGTTCATCTCGATAAAGGACTTGAAATCTTTGACGGTAGAGGAAGCAAGATCTATACAGGAAAACTCGGTTCCTGTATGGAAAATCATCGGACAGGAGAAATTTTCTACCAAGATCAAGTCGGCTTCCCCTGCTCTTGAATCGGGAAGGAACGGCACAGTCACACCTCCAGTCCCAGTGTCAGGTCAGAGACTCTCGAGTTCCCCGGAGCAGCCCAGTCCCAAGAAAAGAGCTCGGTCAGCTAGAAAAATCCGTGAGAAGACTCTTCAGAAGCTCTCAAGACATCTAGAAAACACAGGCTTTGAGAGCGCTTCAGCTGTCAATAGTCGAGACGAAAACAAAGAGATGAAATTGCGCACTAAGGATGTCGAACAATTAGAACGAGATATCCTCAGCTCCCACAGAGACATATGGCAAGCGAACGGGACTGCTGATTCATCATGGAAGCCTACCAAACGCTCCTACGACCGTGTCGCCAATATACACCTTTCACGGGATTATCAAATTCTCGCAGAGCAGTTGGCTAGGCGCACTCCAACAACCCGTGAAGCCACGAATGAAGAGGACGCTGGACCAAGGAACTCGTTACAGGAGGACCTTCTAGAGGCGGACATAAATTACAGACCATTCGTTCAATTAGAATCCGATAAGTCAGCAACGGAGGTGCCTGCTACGCCCGCTACGCCTGCTACACCACGACCGGGGCCTAGAAGAAAACTTACACTATATACCCCCAGTATTCGAAGGCACATGATTCTATCTGCTCTTAGTCAAAGAGCATATTAATTATTTCCATCGATGCGGATGCATTGTTACATGTGTAAAGTTTGGATGTACGATCAGCTGAGGGAGAAATACATGCACAGTCGTACATTTGCGTTTGAAAACGTGCCTGTAACACATATATCCTAACATCGAGTCTCGAGATACTGAACCTGCATGAACACTTCTTCAGTACATCTACTGTTACCTCACCAAGTACGACCGTTGGCAAAGGCAGCATCTTCAAGGCTAGGGCAGCTGTGTCACCCTTTGCCGAAAGACATACAGGGGCTGTCTTTACGGTCGAGTTGATATCACGTCTGTGTATAGGCAGCAACGTCGAATATGCTAGTATGGTTGCTTTAGCGGTACGGTGGGATAAAAGGTTTCAGCACAATCACTCTGTTGCCTTCTCGGAGCTTCGAACGCAGGAAATTAGATGGAGTGGGAGTCGCGTCAACATGGCGTCCAACAAGGTGCATGAAACTTTGGATATACATGATCGAGAGCATGTGCAGGTTACCAAGAGCATCTACCGAAAGTGTGGGTGGCTGGGACAAGAAGGCTAAGGCGTTGATACCGGTTGAGAGTTGCAGACAGGGTAACCCTGGGAAGGTGTGGTGCAGATATTGTATCTAATGGAAACAAAGTTGGTGGTCAGGATCAAAGATCGATCCCATACATACTCTATTCTAGCTTTTCACAACGGAGGCAGTTGCACTGGCTAGGGTGGCGATTGCGGTAATGATATATCGCCACGCATTCGTTCTCACCCATGTCTCAGCAATAGTTTTCATATCCACTTTCTCAGCCCACTTCTTTGCCGCCTCACTCGCCGTATGTGTATCAGTTCCCTGCCCAGATCTCTTCAACACAACTCCCTCTTCATTCAATATCTCCTGCACTTTCCACTTCCCTGCACCGTTCACTCCAGGCTCCATGTACAGCGCCGTATACGGGATGATACTAGCATTCGCCAGTGCAGCGACAACATACAGTACTGTCGCCGAACAAGAAGAGCTTTTGGAAATATAGGCGAGGAAAGCAGTACTCGAAGTGCCTGTCAAGATGAGGGGGGCGACAAAGATGGGTGCGAATTGGTAGGCTTGAAGCCATTGTTTGGCTAGGAGTTTTGGCGGGGCATGCGTGATGAGGGGCGGCATGACGACATGGCTGTATGCGAAAGTGAAGCCTGAACGTATATGTTCAGCCTGTCTTTAGATATTCTGGCAAAGTTGCATTACCTGTGTATACGGCTGGCGCAATGATTGCGACTGCCTGAAGGATGGGTACGAGAGTGCGGGAAGGCTCACTCATCGCGGCTGATAACAGTAGGCACGAATTTGAGCTGCCGTGGAAATATAAGTGTGTCTACGTAAGAACGCAGGGAGTTGTTGCAGTAAGATCTCACAAGATATAAATACAAATGCATGAAACATGATGTTTCAAGCTAGCGCTGTAGTTTAAGCGCACCAGTATGACCTTTAGCTACATATTCAGGAAAAACTACAAAACTGTTGTCTACTTCACTTCACTTGAACTCGCAAGTCTGGAGCTTTGACACGGCCTGCATTCAATTTTTCATATAAAGTAGAGCATGCCTGCTTGATGCACCGGCGCTCCAATCCGCCGTCAATCTACACTTAGACTCTGTTGTACAGGTAGACTACAACTGCTCCAGCAGCCCCAAAACTTCCTGTCTCAAATCATCTAGACGAACATCCTTTTTGAACCTTAATCTTCGGCACTGTACCTCAACTTCCCTCCTGTCTTTCCAACTCCTACCCAGTACAATGACGACCGGGTATCCGATCAAATCGGCATCCTTCAGTTTCCATCCTACGCTCTTTCCTGACCGATCATCCAACACAAGATCTACATCTCCGTTTCGAACTTCACCGTAAAGCGCATCGTACACCTCTGTCGCATCCCTATCCTCGGTTTGTGGAGATGTGAGAATGATGGCTTCGTAGGGCGCTATCGCCCTTGGCCAATTCAGACCTTTGGCATCTGAGAGGAGCGAAGCCACGGCTCCAATGATACGCGAAACGCCGATGCCGTGACAGCTCATTTGAATTGGTGATGAAAGGTTTTGGTCTGGCAACGCAACTACTGCGTTAAGAGGCTTGCTGTATCGGGTGCCGAGGTGGAAAGTATGGCCTACCTCGATAGCCTTTTGGACGTCGAGCTTTCCGTTGGAACAACGAGGACATGGATCGCCAGTCTCGATGGTTGTAAGGTTCAGGGCGGAAGATTGAGGATTAGAAAGGGATTTATCGTGTTTGTCGAAGGTGAGGGAGGGATCGAAGAGGTCAATGATGTCTGTGGTCTTTTGGAGCAAAGAAGTGAGTGATGAGGATTCTATGCCAGTATCTAGCTCAATGTTCTCTGGAAGTGCTTTTTTGACAGCATGTAGATTGACACATTCATGCCCTTGATTCGCTTTTGTTGTCGCGGTCGAGGACGGACGCGGGATCCATACATTGATCTTTGTCTTCTTGTCGACGCTAATACCAGTGAACGCATGCCAGCTCTCGTCATTTGACGTGGGGTTTTGGCTTCTCTTCTCCGCAAGCTCTTCGTTCGCAATGTAATCGCATGAGTTGCAAGACCACACATTGTCTTCACCTTTGGGTGAAACGAAGTGATATTCATGGCTCAGCCTGCCTCCCATGTTGCCAGAATCGGCATCAGCAACAAGGTAAGGCAGTCTGAGCTCGTTGAACAGATTGTTGTAGGCATTCCGTACTTCCTCATAGGTCCTTAGCGCAGATTCTGTTGAGTAGTCAAAAGTGTAGAGATCTTTCATCATGAACTCCTTAGCCCTTAATAAGCCCTGTCTTGGTCTTCGTTCGTCGCGGTACTTCCGTCCAGTTTGGTACAATCTCAATGGCAAATCTTTATAAGAATGCACCATACTGGCTACAAGTGCTGTGATCTCCTCTTCATGAGTCGGCGATAGCAAGAAGCCGGATTCTCTCCTATCCTTGATGCGCAAGAGTTCTGAGTTGGCGGAGTAGCGACCAGTTTGCCGCCATAATGCCTCTGTGGTTATTGACGAAAGCGCGAGCTTTGAAGCGCCGATAGAGCTCATATGCTTGTCGATCAGAGCTTCGAGCTTGTTTTGTACGCGTAGACCTAGGGGCAGAAGGTGGAAAACTCCAGAATGTGCCTGCACGTGATGAGTTAGGGTGGTGGTTGAAATGGAGAGATTCTAGATATTTACCTGGCGCAAAAAGCCACCCCGAACAAGGAGAGAGTGAGAATCATCTGAAGATTGTCAGCCAAGACGGATTAGTACTGTGTAATGTCTATACCTTGCTCGCTGTCTTGTGGTGATATACCACCGGTTGGTGCCCAGAATTTGGATAATCGATTTCTTGAGTCGGTCTCATTGATCGTTAGACCTTGAATCCAAAGTAGACTCTCAGGTAAGCTGACTTACCGCTATATATCTAACATGTCGAAAGCTCTGAAATGGTGTTCTTTGTATTCGCGGTTGCCATGCAGCCCTACAGATGGAAGTCGCCATGCGCGCACGACTATATGGATGTCTCGCCAGAGTCACGACGGAGAACTGAAACAGCCCAGTCAAGTTTAGACAGAAACGAAACAGTTGAAACGTGATATGCGTTGTGGATGATTCCCGCGCGCGGGAGATCTGCCCTCTCAGAATCGTGCACAGACCATGCCGAATCTCAAAGCGCATGGAAATATTTGGAGATGCGAAGCCGTCTCTCAATTGCTTCGCGACCACATCTCACGTAAGCATTCCTGCTCCTCTATAGAGACTGGTTTTCCTGGAAGAGTACTAACTGTCATACAGAATGCCTCCAAGGATACGTATTAGGCCGCGTGCCCTCCGCGCCTGCGCTTCACACCCTACCCACCCCATCTCTCTACCCGCAATCGCGACCTACGCCTCGGTAGCAGCTGCCTCAGCGACGACCCCCGCACCTCCCATTCAGCAGACACACAAAGCCGCGCCCCCAGTGCTACGATACCCGCCCACCCAACCGCCCTCTCACAAGCCGCCGGAGGTCCGCAAAACGCAACTGCACCGGCAGTATCAATCGCTCCTCAAGTCCTCGCCTTTGATTTTGATATTCCAGCACAACAACGTCAAAGCGGTAGAATGGATGAGCATAAGAAGGGAATTGGCTATTGCACTACGCAAGCTGGATGCGGAGAGGGCGAAGAATGGACAAGAGACGCTTGCAGATGAAGTTAAGATGCAGGTCATCCAGACAAACATCTTTGCAAGCGCATTGAGAGTTGTCGAGTTCTTCAACCCGGAGCAGTTCATGTTGGACCATGCACAACACCCCACAGACCCGCGCACACCCACGAGCGCGCAGATACCGCAGACGAGTAATGACGCAGAGGACGAGCGCTTTACACACGGTCTCTCCAGACGGGCGCACGAAATCGCAAACAACAGGAAGCTAAAGTTGGAACTAGAGCCTCTACTCTCGGGTCCTCTCGCTGTTGTCGCCTTCCCCGATGTCGCTCCCCAGTACCTCAAGGCCGTCCTATCCATCCTGTCACCTTCGAAGCCCGACTTCCCTGCGCCAAGCCGGAAGGCGAGTCCAGACTACTACGAACCAGCGGTACAGGCTGGTCTTCAGAAGTTGATGCTCTTGGGTGCAAGAGTAGAAGGCAAGGTCTTCGATGTGGACGGCACGAAATGGGTTGGCAGCATTCCTGGAGGTCGCGACGGACTCCGAGCACAGCTTGTGCAGATGCTGCAAGGTATCGGTGGAAGCCTCACTAGTGCTTTGGAGGGTGCGAGCAAGAGTCTGTACTTCACCGTCGAAGGGCGAAGGATGGATATGGAGGAGAAGGAGAAAGGACCTGCTGGTGACGACAATCAGTCATAGAGGCATATTGAGCTGTGTACATTATGATCTGTAAGAATCAAGAGCTCCATCTTAGACTCCCATGGAATCCTTAAGAGCATGTGACTGCGTATTCCATAAATGGTAGTAGCACACTGTGGATCAGTGACGAAGCAGAAGCTTAATTACTTACCGGAACAATGATCTAGATTCCGATTATTCTGACACCACGACCAATCCTTATTACGGTTGCAGCTTGACAGAACAGCCAACATACTCGAATACTCCTTGGTCGTCTAGAATATAGTCATGTGACGTTAGGCCCGCTGCAGCTGCCTGGATGTTGACTCACTGAGTTTCTATAAGAAGCAGCCACACGCGAGAAACTGCTTTGCTGTACAGAAATACTTGTGTTTGCAACAATGCATCTACCCAACGAAGTCCACGACCTCATCATTTCAGATCTTGAACCGCGAGAACGCTTCAACTACCGCCTTATCGGCCACTCATTCGCACAAGCCGCAATACCACACGTCTTCAGGCGCATCAATGTCTCGCCCGTGGTATCCAGTCTCCGCGACCTGGCACACATTGCAAGCCAGAAGCATCTAAACCGCCATGTGACACACTTGGGATGGGACAGCGATCGATTGCGCCTCGGAAAGAAGAAAGGTCAAATCGATCTTGGAGACAAACAGTGGGAAGCCGTGAGAGAGATATTGCCCCGAGATGCGAACGAGAGCGAACATCATGGAGATATTGGCATGCGTATCCTAACACTCATTCTCCGCCACTTTCCCAATCTCAAAACATTGGATATTGATATCTGGGAGAGCTCTGACACTACCGAAAGATGTCTTGATCCTTCAGACTCTTCGTCTATGATCCGGGGCGAATACGAGATGTATACACTCCTTACAGCAGCGCATGCCGTGGGATGTCAGATTACCGAGTTCAAGCTCTCCAGCGTAGGTAGACCACATCCGCTTTTCCGTTCGGAGATCTGGCCTTCCCTCGTTCCCGTGTGCAAAGACCTGACATCTTTAAAACTTCCCTTGAACTTCGCTCTCAGCGTCGAGGAGAAGGAAACATGGTTGAGGGAGTACAAGGAAATAGAAGATCAGATACCAGAGGATGAGCGCACGACAATGTTCACAGGGTACACAACAGTCCATTCATTCCACAGCACAGCGGCGCAGATAGCTTCATTCCGGGCATTCCTTAGTACACTGAGTAAACTGCAGACGCTCGAACTGACGCTCAAAGCGGAGCAGTGGGATGAACACGTCGACATGGATGCTCATCTCAGCCTGCAAGGTCCTTCTCTCGAGGACGTGCTTCCTTCAAACGCTTTTCCGCATCTGCGTACGCTGGTGTTGGATCACCCTAACACGTCAACTGCATGTCTCAAATCTGTGTTGACTAAACACAAGGAGACACTGGAGGTGGCCAAGTTTACCAATGTCGCGTTCGCATTTTGTGAAACGCAATTAATGTATGGGGGATATGAACCTAAGAACCAAGGGTGTACGGCGTTGAAGGAGTGGGTAGAACTTGAGTTTGAGTTGGACGAGTTTGACTTGACTTGCCTAAATTGTGGATCTAATCTGTGGCCATGCTGTGTAGCAGTAGGCGGTATGAGATATTGTTGCTGACGGAATAGCGAGATGAATGGGATGTAGGCTTGGTTTTGAGGGGACTCTTGGTTGGGGAGACGCATATTTAGAGATATAGAATAAGTAATAAGTCTAAAAGAGCTGAATTTACTGCGAAGTATTTGAAATGTACGGAGTGTGCTAGCCATCTGTGCGAACCTAGACTCTTTTCACGACAGGGAAGTCATAATCGACATCCTCCTATTTCGCTACTTCCACTGCACAATTACCGCATTTTTCGTGAGAGCAACAACTACATACATACCCCCACGATCCCATCGGTCCATCTCCACAATTACACTACGATGATCAGCTGGATTTGGACCAGACATCTATGAACATTAACTTACGCAATACCACACCACCGTCCCACCACGTTCTCGAACACCATGGTAGCAACTTTGTGTAGACCAGTTGGCTTTCTCGTTTTTTTGTTCTGATTGGCTCCAGTCCGATGTATCATTTGGGTGGGATACACAGATCCGATCCGTCTGCTGTAATGCAGTCCAGTCAGCCCGCATCTCAGATAAGTCGCATCTCTAAACTAACCACGCATGATAAAAGGCAGCAGCGAAGAACGCGACACCCTGGTGGCATTCTCGAAGCAGAATATTGGTAGAGACGTCGAAGATGGAAGGTCCGCGTGGTGTCTCAAGTCCCTACCTGCTGACTCTAAATGCACCTAAACACTGATTGGACAAGCAGATCAACCAATCAGCCTGAGCACGCCACCTACCTCGGTGCATGCACAACGCCCTGCTATGCTTTTCATGGACCTATGGGGCTCCGCAGTGTTCAGCCTTGTCGCTCGTCCCGTGCTTTGCGAAGACAGAGAAGTGCCCCGCGGAATTGATTGCGATTTCAATAGGTGCTATGTGTTGGGCACGATCCGAGCACCCCAAACGCATCGCCAGAACGACAACGCATGGAGCACGTAACTTACCAGCCGGACAGTCCATGGAAGAAGTTCACCCATCGGCAAGAAGCAAAACATCGTCCTGAAGATGATCTCAGGCTATGTACCCTGGACCAGACGAGCGCCCAGGTGATCGAGAGATTTTTGTCGCCTGAACGAGATAAGATCCATCTAGATGAGCTTATTCCTCGTAGACGGCAAGTCCTAAGGGATTTCTTAAATGGAGTTCATCCGGAGGGCATACTCGGAATGGGTTCTTGCCTGCAGGACGTGAAGGATCGTAGTAACGACGATAACATCATTGCGCTTGTGGACGATCGGCAGAACCACGAAAGATGCGACAAGATTATCGGAAAGCCTTGTAATGATTGTCGTATCTTCTCCAGATCTGTTGGTATTCCCGAACTCTGTGAACGGATGCAAGAGAAGGTGAACCAATCCCAACAATAGTGACATCTGACACAAGGCTCAATCAACGACAGAGAAGCACATACAAGGCCGAAAAGCGAATAATGTACGATAGCCAGCTTGACAGGGAGATTCCAATGGAAGCACGTGTATTGACCTTCACAGATTCATACCGAATATTACACCTGCGGCAGCTGTAGGTTTAGCTGCGACAGTGGCGGAGCGATCAGCAGTCCCCCTCCGGGACTTTCTACACAAATACCTTAAAAGAGAGGCTATCTTTAGTGCGACAATAGTAAGCTTATCTAGACCAATTCCTTTAGTTGCTGACTGTGTTAGTCGTGGGGTTTCTTCTTCGATATACATATACCATATCATGCCATGCGCCGCGGTCCACTTGCGGGCACTGGAGATCCAAGATTGATAAGGGGCAAACGCCTCCGAAAAACTGAACCTCTTCCACTTAGATATCAGTCCACTGACCGGGAAGATCTTTATTATCACGAAGCGCAAACTTCCTCACTCTCTTGGGGTGCCGATGAATGGTTTTGGACGGAGCTGTGTCTGGTAGACACATACTTTGGCTCTGAAGAGAAGCATAAGACTTACTTCACTGGGTGCCAGGAAGGTGATGGATTCGACCCTCCCGTTGGGGGTAGATTCCGAATGACTACACCGCGATTCGATCCAAGAGAATACTTTCTTCTCAAGCTTCGATTTCGGACCGAACAAGCAGTCACGGAGTACAGTGCACTCATAGAAACCTTCAACAGCAGAATGGATGAATATGTGAGATACTCGTACATCAATTCAGACGCCCGTTACTAAATAACCTCTAAAGGCACGAACGATCAGACGCGTCTTCGAAGACGATAACAAGAGGACGAACACAAGGACAATAAGCGATGTCATCGAAACAGCACAGCTTTTCATTGACGGCATCAGCGGTATAACCGACGCTTGGGATACATTCAGTCGTACTGAGCTTGTGATCTTCACTACATATCTACCTGAGAGATCTACCTGGCCAACATACATCAACATCATCATTCGAAATGTTGCAGAACTTGATCGATTACGCAAATTACTCCTCATCAGGCGAGACCACTTCAAGTTCAAACTCGATAGCGTGAGTTCAGAGGTGCCTCAATGCACACCCTTTAGTGCCTGCACACTGACCCAATAACTAATACCATTTAGCTCCACACTGTCTCCAGCCTCAGTCAAACCTATACAGGGAATCTCCAAGCAGAGACGGCAGTGAACCAGGGCAACGACCTAAAGATACTTACCAAGATGACAGTCGTAAGTCATGTCAGATCAGCCCCCTGTACTTGTATAGATACAGCGACCTCAATAACTACATCAATAGCTAATCACAATGAGCACAGTACGTCGCCTTTCCACTACTCTTTACAACAGCACTTTTCAGCATGGACTTCGTTAGACCGAAGTACCCATGGGCTGTGTTCTTCGGAGTGTTAGCGCTGATATCGTTGGTGAATTATATGATTGCTTCGCCGCGGAGCTCAAAGAGAGTGTGGACGAAGTGTAAGGCGTGGCAGGATGCAACGGTATGGAAGTTGAAGCATAATTGAATACAACATATTGCCATGCACCTGGGACTGATGTACTAGGGCATACCGTAATCTGAATACACGCTGTTCGAGGTCTCAAGAACTCAGGACGAAGATGCTCGCTTCTGCAATCATATCTTGGATGCAAAATCCATCCTAAAAATATACGCTGTGTTTCACATTGTACGATATAGATGTGGAACATGGCGGATATCTCTAAGGTATCACGCAGAAAACATGAGCTTCTTGGTGGGATCACCAATACTATCAGTGTTAACAAGAAATTGTGGCAACATACCCATGTTCCGTTGTCGAATATCGAACTTGCTCTAGATCACCACACAGAGGACGAAGCAGGTTTGACTTTACGATTCGATTCGTTTTATATAGGTATCCACATATGCTGCGTGGTATCCTGAGGGTATCATGAGGGATCTGCCTGCCCAAATATGCACACTTTGAAATGGTTGACAGTGAGTAAAAAAAGGCTCAGAAACCAAGAGAACGCGCGCGCGCACAAAACCACAAACCAAAACATTCCTGGCGCCCCAATCTGTGTCCTCATGTATGTGTAAGAGGTAGGAGAATGTCATGGTCGTCATACCTCCAATCGCTCAACTCGATCGCTTCTGCCACTCGCATTATGCCAATAAGAATAGTTTGTTGTGTGGAGGTCGGTGGGAAGCCTTTCAGTCGAGCAAATGCCGCCGTCGCTTTCGTGATGGATTTTCCGTAAACGCCGAATTGTGGAGAGAGATCCGAAACCCCGATGCTGCTAAGTTGATATGTGCGAAAGAAAAATCCGACGTCGCTATCGTCGTGCGCCGCCTACTTCGACTGAGTGTGATGTTCGTTCAAATTGGAGCTTTCGTCTCTTGTTCGCCATGTTTCCCCCTGGTGTGTCTTCGCCTCCGGTTGAGTCTGCGTACTCATCTCCGAAGCCCTCACCGTAGCCTTGGAATGCGGCGTCGGTGTAGCCGCGCTTTGAGCTAGAGCGCTCCGGTCTCACTGCACCTCTGTTCATGTGGCTGGTTGGTGTCGGTGCTGACGATGTGAAGGAAGTTGCTCGCTGTGGTGGTATGTCTTGTGGTTTTGGCTTTGCTGTATCGTCTGTACCGAGATAGGCCTTGTATTTGGCAGCTTCTGCGCTGGGAAGAGTGCCCGGTGCAGTGCCTGCGAATGCGTCGTCGAGCAGTCTGCTGAAGTCTGAGCTCAATGCTGTACCGTCTGGTGTCAATGCCTTCTTCTCAGGCTCTCTATTCTGCACGTGTTGCGACTGCCAAATTTCTTCGGGCATCAGCAGCAGGTTCCGGAAGACACCGTCCATCTTGGTGGCCTTTGGCTTGCCGGCAATCTGCATCTTCTTGATCTGACCCTCGTAGGACTTGCGAAGCTTGTTAATCTTCTCGCCTGTTACCGGGTCATTGCGCGCTACTGAACTGGCGAGCGGCGTGAGCCTATATAGTGTAATGAAATTTTCCGAGGGGTGCGGCCGCGCTGTCTCCAACTTGTCGTTGTTGAGTTTGAACAATTGGCTGCCGCTGATGCCTTGGGCAGCTCGTAGTCGGCCGTCTTCGGTGTATGGTGATTCCCCTTGCCGGTTGTGGTTGGACAGCCTGTGATCAGCCAACCGTGTAGTGTCATCGTCTAGGCTCTCTTCCATCGTCGCATCACCATCGCTATCGATGTTGGCACTGGACATGAAGCCTGCAGTGCTCGCCGGGGTGGGAAAGGGATGTTGGTTCGATGCCGATGTTGCCGACTGTGAGAGGGAGTGAGACATTGGCAGCGAGGACTGCGGGGAGCGGTCCGACGACGCCGTCGAGTTAGTCGGGGCGAAACCTCCATGAGATTGCGAATTCATCGAGGAGTAGGGCGGTGAGGTGGGCGTGCGAGGGTGGATGGGCGTCTTTGTCGGCTGGCCGCTCGCCTTGGCAGCGACGTCAAAGGGCGGGCTGGCGGGTGAGAATCTTCCTATCGAGTCCAAACGTTGCCGTTTTGCGCTGTGATCCGACATAGAGAGCGTCTTCGGGGGTGGAGAGGGAGTGGAAAGCTCGTAGGCGGGTGCTGGGGGGCGTGCAGGAGTGGTGAGAGTAGGGCTCGTAATGAAGCGCTTGGCGTCCTCCGCGCGGGTCGACCGCGGCAGAAAGATGGGCGCTCTACTCGATAGTGCGCATTCGAAGAGGGCAGGCGTCGGCGCTGGCGATGATTCGGGTGCGGCAGATGTGCGGGGACGTGGTGGTGGCGGGATGCGCAGGTGGGTTGGAGGCGGCTGGAGGTGCGAAGATGTGAAGGAGATGATGGGGTTGACCGGCGGTTTGGGCTCAGCGCTGTCTCGACTGCTCACGTGACACCCCGGGGCCATCTAAAACCGCGTTTCTTGTTAGGCTGTGTCAACCATTCATCGCCGCTGCCAAACACAACAATAACAACAAAGCCGCCGTCCGCGCTTCAATGCGTGCACCGCTCGTCTTTGACCACCATGGATGGCAATAGGCCGCGCCCCGGTGGCTCTGCTTCGGCCGTCCCAGCAAATGCAGCGCAGCCTGCGCGTTCCGAGGCATCGAATCCACCCGCGCCGAGCAATGCGCCCAAGGTCCAGCAGCCGAAACCCCAAGCACTGCCATCGCGATCTGGTCCCAGCTCCATCCTAGTCTCGCCGCAACAGAAAGGCAACCCCATCCTGAACAGTGTGCGCTCAGTCGCATGGGAGTATTCAGACATTCCTGCCGATTACGTCGTTGGTGCCACAACATGTGCTCTCTTCCTGTCGCTCAAGTACCACCGTCTGCACCCCGAATACATCTACAACCGTATCCGAGACCTGAAGGGCCAGTACAGTCTCCGCATCCTTCTTACTATGGTCGACAT